AACCTATTTGGGAAAGCGTACTTAAAAGCAGCAACTGTTTCAAATGCTCTTAGTGGTTTTAGAGCCACTGGCATATATCCTGTTGATAGCCAGGTGTTTGATATACTTGATTTTGAGGCATCTTTACCAACAAATAAAGACAAACCAATTTCAACGGAAGTTCCAATTACCTCTGCTTTGGAAATGTAGAGGTCGACGAGGAAATGCCAGATATTCAAGGAATGTCACCTATATCTGTTTTAAAAGAAACAGTACCTCAAGAATCTGTTCAAATATCTGACGAAATTTCAGATATTTCTATTTCAAATATGCCAGGTCCATCTATATCAGGAATAGCTGGCCAGACACCTCCTCATGTATCAAATCATATATTGAATAATGGTCTACCTAAATTACCTGTTGCTGAAGTGAGAGCAAAACGACCCAGAAAGAAATTACCATATCTCGTTATTTCTAGTACACCAAGAAAGTAGTACACCTAGTAAAGATTTTAGAAGAAAAGGAAGCTGCAAAATTAGCAAAAGAGAGGAAAGGGGATATAAAAGAACAAAAGAAAATTCAAAAACAAAATAGAAGCAAAGACTTTAATTTTCAGCAAAAGAATAGGAAATTCACTCTCAATAAAGGCAAAGGAAAAAAATGACTAAGAGAAAAATAAAATTTGACGACTCGTCTAACTCGTCAGTAGATATGGAATATGCTGACACTGATTCAGAGGAAGAAAGAGATTGCATAATCTGCAATGAAAGAGGAAAAGATGAGCTATGGTATTGCTGCAGCAGGTGTAGGGAATGGGCTCACGCTGAATGCACTGGAATGGATTGTCAAGAAGCAAAGGTAAAACAATGGACTTGTGATTGGTGCTTTTAAAAATGTAGGACCTATTAAAAGTGTTGCATTAGTTACAGAATAAATGCTTTTTTGTTTAATTTGTTTACTTTCCTGCCTATATATATATATATATATATATATATATATATATATATATATATATATATATATATATATATATATATATATAACTGCCTTTTTTTCTTAAAATAGGCATACCTCGTCATCTTACCCTTCACAATTAGTCATCTTACCCTCCATGAAGGGTAAGATGACGAATATGACATAGGTGGATAAATTTTAAAATTTTAATTTGAAATATTAACCCTTACGTAATCTAATTTTAATATGTAAAGTACTATTATCAGCCAATTACCTTGTAGTTGCATGCATTCGATACAAGGAAAAATATCAGTTCTAGGATTTTTTTAAGCTTACTGTCGTCATCTTGCCCTCCTTTCCCTATATGTCAGAATGGACATTAAACATAACATATCCCTATTTTAAAATTAAGGGGTTGTGGAACTATAGGGTTCACAAATGACGTATGCCTGCATTGTTAAAATGTATCCACTTTGAAATAAAAATAGGCCTGTGTCAGCATTTAAAAAAAAATATTATGAATAAGTATTACCAAATATTGGGTGGACTGTTTTCAGTGACACAATTTGTATAATGTATCACTTAGATACTATTTTAATAGGAATAAGCCACAATTGAAGGTTAAAATAAGTTTATTGACGATTCAATTTCCACTTCAGAATTCGTTCTCAAAATACAAACATTTACAAATTTTGTTTTTTGTTACTTAGTGAAAAATTCTTCTAATAATTTAATTTTATCTGGCTCATTTATATTGACAATTCAGACATATATTATACATTTTAAAGTAGACAACTTTAACATGATATTGCCATTACTGAGTTGCGTTCCTGGGAAGACTTTATTGTAAGACAGTTCATTCGATTACATGAAATCAACTTTAACTTGAGAATATCCGTATTTACTTTAAAATGCCACAAGATCAGAACACTGTATCACTTGTACAGGAATTTTTTATGTAATAGTGCTGATGTAGTATTGAGAGTACGGATTATGTTTTTTTTTATTAAAGACCTTGTTTAGGCTTAGGCTTAGTAGTGCGTCTAATTAGTTCACGACTATGCGATTACCTAAATTTTACTCAGGTTTCACTATATCTCAGTATCTGTGAAATTGGATTGCTGAGACACTATTAAGGACGAGTTCTATATTTTCTATTAAAGACCTTGTTTACGATAGTCTCAGTAGTACATTTTCAAGGTTTTTTTAATTGGCGTATTAGAAGTGTTTAATACAAGAAAGCAGGAATCATAGAACAAAGAAGAGAGATTGGATTTACGACAGAATGGAAGAAGAAGCAGTAGATTGATAAGCGAAATTTGTAAAAGTCATAAAAGTAACTTTTACCTATCCGGTATAAGAGTAATATGTGCCAACTGTCGATCTTATCTTTTGGTCGGTATGTATTAGTTGAAATGGTTATGGTCATCGAGCAAAAAGACAAAAGAGGGAATCTAATCGTTATGAAAAGGAGACCAAAAAAGTGGCCTCTGACGGCGGACATATCCGGAAATGCGAATGCGCCAAATTTAGATTGTCAGACACTTATTAACAGTAGCTATATAATATTTTTCAGAATGTGTTTTAGACGAGAAAGTTTTAAGTAATTATTAACGGTAATAGTCTAAAATGCGACACAATTGTTAAAAAACTTCAATATAAATAAAATTTCATGTGACATTTGGGACAAACAATAACATAACCCAACTAAATTTGATGTCAAACAAGGAGAGAGACTCTCTTAATGTGGCCTCTAAAGATCGCACTTCCTGTCTAACAATATTTTTGGCCCCACTACCTTTACATTCTCTCTTTTGTCTTTTTGCTCGATGGTTATGGTTAAAAGATTCTTGCGTATATTGGCTAGGCTACAGCCCACCTTAAACAGTTAACGTTGTTTCATTAAATATAGTAGATAATAATAAAGTTATTAGAAAACTATAAAATAGTTTTACGCGTGTCCCTAATGGAATAATTCCGTTCCTAACTCTTAAGAACATAGATGTTTCGATATTTGTTCCAGGTATCTTATCAAATGCGGGTATTATAAAATATGGCGTAAATTCAACTTTTGTATTAATCCTTTACAACCAGTATTATATCTTTTGGTTTATCTTGTCTGAGATATATATTATATTTCAGAATTTGTAAAAGACGAAACCAAAGAATAAAAAAAAGAGCGTCCTAAGTATAATTATAAATAAGAAAAAACAATAGGTAATAAACAACCTAACCAAATAAACATAAAAATTATCGCTTTTACCCGGAAATATTGGTAGGAGGAAAATAAAACAGTCCACGAAAGAGCCAGATTTGGTTTTTGAATACAAGAAATGAGAAAAGAGCTGAAGAAAACATACATATCTTAAACGACAGAGTAAAGATTGGTTTATTAATGAAACAAGAAATAAAATAAGTAAAAATAGGTACCTGAAAATTACTTACGTCTTCTATTCTTTTTATTATCTATGTAAAAACGAACTTTATTTTGGACGAATTTGTATCGGTTTGTGTCTGTCTGCAAAAGTTAAAAACTAATGAAAAAATATTATAGGCTGACCATGAGACCTTGACCATGATCGTCAGCGAACTAATGTTAGTCCAGTCAACAAATTATCATAAGACAACGAGTTTTTTTTTTAATTAATTTATAGATCTTGATAAGAATAAATTACAATTTAAATGGAAATTGAAACATTGAAACTCAAAAACATTGGTACAATTTGTTTGAGGGATTTTAATCGATATTATTAACTTGAAGGCCTCTCATAATCTCGTAAGACTTTAAAGGTCACAGAGAAACTATAAAGAAAGACGGTGACTTTAGGAATAGTGGGAACTTTAGGATTTATTTAAATTGATATCAAAATTTGATCCTACTTTACGCATCATTATTTAAGTCACGATATAAAAATTGACGAATTGACCAAACTGATGTCAAAAACGGTAACTGGTGAAGTGATTCGCAAACTAAAAGAGGCAAAATATTATTCTTTTTTGCTTGACTGCACTAGAGAATGTAGTAAAGTAGAACAAATGTCTGTGATCTTAAAATTTTGTACAAAAAAAATACATCAACAGGCACAATAGAAGAACACTATTGGATTTCTTGCTGTAAGTTAAACAACAGGAGAGTAATGCCAAACTAGGCGAACTAGAAAAGAATGGCTTAGATATTCAAAATTACCGTGGTCAAGGATACGACAATGACGCAATATAGTAGGCATAGATAGTGGAGTTAAAATTCGAATATTAAATATAAATCCTAGGGCATTCTTCACACCTTGCGGTTGTCATAGTTGGAATACATATAATGATCCCTTTAACTAAATTGATAACAGACGTGAAACACTTGGTTCGATAAATTGCAGATAACAACTTTGCAGAAAAATATACCCAAACACTTACATCGTCATTGGAATATTATTAACAATACCATTTAGTACAACCTCCGCTGAAAGGAGTTTCTCAAAATTAAAACAGATTAAGAATTATTTAAGAAGTATGATGTCACAGGAAAGACTTTCCGGTCGCAATTTTGTCTATCGAGGCTGATATAGCATCCAAGCTAGATTGCGAACACAAAATTAAACAGTTCAGCAGTGTAAAAAGTAGAAAATTTTTATTCCTGTAATAATTAAATTAAATTTTTAGGTTAGTTGTAAGTTTGACTAGATTTTCCATGAGTAAAAGGTTAATAATGAAATGACTTGAGAACATTTATCTTTACGCGCTAGCAGAGGGCCTCGCGAAATATATCTTGCCCACATAAAATTATATACACATAACAGGTAGGAATAACCAAATAAACATACTCGGATCAAGTGCTGAGAAACGCGTAAGAGAAAAACTGTTGAGAACTATGTTCTTCATTGAGTTATTTCTGACTGAGAGGATGAGGAAGCGGAAGTGATTTTGTTAGGGAAACGGAAGCTATCTGAATGTCAAGGAGGTGTACCTTTGACAACATAAGGTGGTCATCTGGCAATTTACACGACTGGCGTTAATTTCATTTAAAATGGTACAAATTTGGGTATTAATTAGGAATAACAATGCACAATACTTTTGGTACTTTATTAAAGAAAACAAATAAACAATATATGTTATGTATATAGGAAACTTTAAACTAATTCTATCAATTTATCACATGCTGCACGTATCATCTTAAAAATATATCCATACTGACTAAAACCCAAAACATTTATTCGTTGAAAGACTGAGTAACGAAAGTGAATTCTGGGACCTAGATGAAAATATTTCCTAAAATATTGTTTAAAATAACTTTTATTTCCATACTTTGATCACCCCGTCCTTGGACGAAGTGACAAGGAAACATTGTGATGCTTTACACATAGCAATATCAGAAATACAATCTCTGTGGCCTGTCGCCGGAGGTTCTGGTCCAGGTCTTGGAATTTCTTCGCCCCTGTCTAACTTTCTTATGGTACCTGCTTCTTCATATATCACAAGCGTACCTAAAAATATAGAAAAGTAAAAAGAACATCGTACATATTGCAATATTAGTTTGCTAAAGAAGTCTTATAAAGCTATAAAATATCAATTTACTTCTGCTGTCACCTCTTTATTTGATTAAAAACGTTTTCTAGCTACATTTTATCTTTACTCCGTTTGAAACTTATCGACAGCACAGTTTTTAAGATACATCTGATGGCATAAACCAGCGACGAAGAATTTAAAAATTTTCTTCTTTCTAATTGTGCAGTAGTTTTATGTAGGTACCTACATAATCTGTTCACATATAAAATATTAACATTAATAATCACCAAAGTTTCTTAAAAAGGATTAAAATTTCCAATCGACATAAAATGTCTTATTGTAAATTATTTCAGTTAAGATTTACATTTTGTCTACCTAGAGCTTTAAAAAATACAACGTGCAAAATGGTTAGTTTTTTTGCCGGTATTACCGTCGAAGACCAACCAGAAAAGAAGATGAATCTGGTGATTTTTCTAGTGACTTTATTGGGTGTGAATCCATCTTTTGAGTTTACTCCTCCTAGTTTAAAAACAGAGTATATCTACTAATTTTCCTTCTAAATTGTATCGTCTAGAATCACATTGTTAATATTGTCTATATTTTCGTCAGTTTTTATCCATCCTTCACGTAAATCACGTTTAAAAGTTAACAAACATTCTTGACACATGTTCACCAAATGTTTTGGATGCATTTTTGCACAACTATAATCAATAATGCCCTGCAGAAGTCATGATATTTATTTTTATTTATCTGGTCTAGTTTTTGGTATACACTGCAAAACATGCCAATCTGGGACACCCTATAGAATATTTTCCTAGTATCTTTCTCTTTCAAAAAACACCCACTTTCAAAGCATAAATTCAAAGCATCTTATATTATTAAATAATGAGCCACTGATAATTACTTACCATCAATGAGTCTGCTTCTATAGCTTAAGGCTGTACCTGCTGGATCACTTGCACCAGGTATGGCCAAATATGATTCAGATGGGCTCTCTAAATTCCAAAACCTCAGTCTTTGATCGGTACCACCAGCTAACAGGAAAGGTGATCTGTCTATACAACCGCCTAGCATTGCGCAAACGCTGTTAACGGTACCCTAAAACATTTAATAAAAATCCCATCAAGTTCTATATATAAAAAAATTCAAACAAATTAACGAAAAATATTATTCTGAGAACCAATGAGAGCGTATTATTCCCTAACGATGCTACTTAATTCAAAATTATTCTCAAAGACACGTAAAATAAAGGTATATATCCGATCGTACTGAAGATCTTCCGGACGACCTTTGCGCGTTGTAGAGACGAGATTATTTTTATGTTATCGGATAAGCTACTCACTTGTTTTGATAAAGGTGGAGATGTGCTTCCCCACAATACTTTCTGTCTAAAACTAGTTTCAATATTCCACATGGAAATTTCATTATTACCCTGTATACTAGACATAACCCATGAATGTTCCGTCGGATGTGACAGTACTTTTTTAATCCTAACAGAACCTAAAACAAAAACGGTAAGTTACTAATAAATAATTATTAATCGTCAGAAACAACGATATAAAAAAATGGGAAAGAAACACTTAATAATTCGCTGACTTATTTTTCTTTTAATGTTAATTATCTCAGATATATTTAGAGTTAAAGTTAACAACCTCTCCACTATTACATAATACACCAACGAATCGAATCTAAGTGAAAACCTCTTATGTAATATGTAGTTTAAATAATTAAACTATGTGTAATATTAAATAAATAACCTTTTAGGAAATAATTGGAGAGACAGCATATCCTTTTTGTTTGCTTCTGTCACGAGTTCAGGTATGGAGTACATATGACTTTGATTACTAATGAATTTTGAGACATTTGATTTTACTGTCATCGAGACAGTAAAAAACGGAAAATCTTCATTCAGTGTACGTTTGTATTTCAAAACCCAAGGATCTTCTCTCTCGTACCTCATCCATCTCATTTCTAACCACTTCACATGTGCTCCATCACTACCTTTTTTTCTATTTACAAGCACATTTTCTTTGTCGACACAATGTGGCTCATTTTTATGTTAGTTACTTCAAAAGGCACTGTCAATTTTGAAGTTTTTATTACATCAATCTAGCCATCTGGTCCAAAGTTGTGGGAAGATTTTCTGGCAGCCTTTTCAATAACCCCAAAATATCGGTCGTTTGGCAAAAAGGCGTCGCCAGATACAAGAAACTTGTGATCTATCGTTCTTATGTTTATGTAAGGATCTTGAACAAGATTTAGTAACGTGGCAGTCACTTTAAGATTTCTATTTTGTCTTGTATTTTTGTTTTTGTTTAAGGAATGAATTCTTAGGTTATAGACATACATATTTCTTTTCTAATATGCAATGGAGGTAGACAATTTCGGGTATAGCAGTGCTTTTTGGAGGTCAAAAGTAGCAACATAGTGTTATCTGATGCGTCATCACTGAACGGTTTTAGTACATCTCGAGCTTGTTTTGCTTTTGCTAGGGACAATTTTGCTCAACAATAAGTGAATTGAATGTCTCATGTTCAGTTACTGCAGCTATTTTTAAGGACAGTTGATCACATTTGGCCAATTCCGATTCTGCAGACGAATGTTGTTCTGAAGGTATATAATTATCAGATGATAATGCAGATAAATTACTAATACCGTCATTTGAATCCATTTTTAATTATAAACGATCACGATAAATACACTGAGCACAATCTGAGTAGTCAACTGGACGTGATCCACTCTGTCCCGAAATAATATGAGACATTGTTCAGAGACATAGTAAACTAACGCCATCTGTTTATTATTGCGGTAACTTTGGATACGGTTTGTTATAGTACCGAAAACATTTCTATTTGTAGAACATAGATACATCGCTAAGTTGGACTAAAAAGTGGACTTAATCCACTATGGTTCTGAACGCCTCATATACAAGTTTACAAACAACGAGAGTATTGTCAAGCGTACAATATTATATAATATCTAATGCTTTAAATATCTAATACAGTATAAAACTTTTACACTTTAAATCGTTAACAATACTAAAACGGATTAAAACATTTAAATAAAAGTACCTGAAGGATGATCGAATGTCATGATCGGCAACTGGAACCTCAAATCCCATGCTGCATGTGTGCCATTGCTAGTTCCAAGCATCAACCAACTTTGATGATAGTCCAAACAGAACGTAGTGATCACGCCGCTTTTCAGTCCATTATCCAACTTGAAAGCATTACCGGGCGCTCTCAAATCCCATCCTATTAACGAGCCGTACAATGTAGCATACACTAATACACTCTGAGATCCGGAATCCAAACACTGAACGTCTACTGCATACCCGTCATCATCTGCATTTAATTGTCGCGACTGAACTGGTGTCATTCTATAATATAAAAAATATATTTACAACACAAGTCATTATATAACAACAAAAAAAAAACGATAGAATAGATATTAGAATCTGAAGTCTTCATTGAATGAGGAATTGAAGTCTTCATTCAAAGTGCTCTTATAAAATATTTTGTACGATTGATCTTTCCAACAATACAATCAATGAATGTTCAACCCAGATACTGTACAATAATTTTCATTTTTTTTACGGCGAGTCACAGAGTTTTCCACCACTGCTAGGGAGAAAATATCTTCCTTTTTCATTTCGTACACCGAAAAAGGATTTTTTGTCTTCATCATCATCATCATCATCACTGGCTCGACAACCCTTTTTGGGTCTTGGCCTGTTCAAGGATTCTTCTCCATTCTGACCTGTTGCGTGCTTTTTTTTCCAGTTTTTAATTTTTAATGTTGTTATATCATTTTCTATTTGTTCTACGTCTCAGCTTCGGTCTTCCTCTTGTTCTATTTCCTACTGGCACTTGTTTGAATATTTTGTTTGGTATTTCGCCTTCTTCCATTCTTTCCACATGTCCAATCCAACGTAGCCTTCCTATTTTAATGAATGTTATGATATCCGGATCCTGGTATATGTTGTATAGTTCAAAGTTATACCTTCTCCGCCAAATCCCGTTTTCTTTTGTGCCCTTATATATGTGTCGCAAGATTTTTCTTTCAAAGGTGGCTAATAACGTTTCCTCCCTTTTAGAGAGTGTATCCTCCCATTTTTTGTCTTACATTTTTTTATTGTTGTGTACCAGTCTTCAGGCGTATATTTTATACGATTTTTGGCATACTGTTAAATTTGACTAAAATATCGATCATTTGGTAAAAATTAATAGCACGACACCATAAACTTATGATCTATTACTTCATCTGTATCTGCCTTTAATTTTAACCAGAACAAACACGGCCGCAAGCATTACTGTAATGCTTCGCTGTATTTGCATTTGTCTTAATATGCTTTCGTATGCATGATTTTTTTTTGTGATTTCTTTCCGTTTTTCTTGTAATTCCCTGGAAACCGTGATTTCATCCCAAACATACATAAACGACTTTTCTTTTCGGCCAACTCGTGTATCCCTAACACGCAATCGAACAGCTTAATGTTGGAAAAGGCAAAGCCCAAACAGTAAATTTTTCCTCTATTTACAATAGCCAATTCCTTATCATTAGCTTGACTTGTTCTTGCTTTTTCAGCCTTCAACAGCTACAACGTATGCTGTGTTTTTAGATCAGTCTTGCTGTTCATTGGTGGCACAAGCTAGTTTTGTCTTAAATGTATCACACTTCATGCACCACTAGTCTTGCCTTAAATGTTAGATGGACTATGAACGTGTAGATTAAAATCACGATGAAATATATTTTTTAAATTGCAAAGCAATGTACCGAAATGCTCTGTTAAGCATTTTTCCTTATAAAGTTTGTATATATTTCTTATGTTCAGACTAGTATCGAGGTATGTTCTATTCGGATTATGACTTCGGATGTAATGGGACTGGTACATGGGGAAACTGCCAATATGTTCACTTACATATTGAACATGTTCTTCAGGAGCTTTATTTCTTGGTTTATGCCTACCTCGCAAATCTTCTCCAGGCGATGAAACACGTGAATGTTTAATTGCTCTTTCAAGTCGACCATACGAAACTTGAAACGTTTGCAAAAAGTACTGTTTACAAATATTGTGTAAAATACTTAAAATATTTATAAAATACATATTTGTGGCACTTCTAATATTACTTCTACTTTGATTACGAGGACGTCGATGGTTTAACTTGGTTTAACTAAACCTGAAACACATGCATTTTGCGCAGAAAAATTGCCCATTTTCCAAAAGTTACTGTTTTTCTCTACTGCTTATCAACTCGTTTAAAAATTTTTTTCTGCAATTACAATTTGTATTAGAAAATGCCTTTTGTGGCACTTTTTGCCACAGATGTACTGTAATATTCACATCCTGTATTCATCTATCTTTTACGAATTTCTTTGATATGTTTTTCGGGTTGTCTTAAGCGTTTTTTTTTCAACGCGTTTCTTTTTATTACCACTTTCATGATGACTTTGCGAACCTGATGCCTCATCAGACAACATATTTTGTTTCTCATCTAAAATAATTTAGAGGTATTAGTATTTTGTTAAATGTAAACAATAACTATTTGTACCCGAAGATAATGATGATTTCGAATTAACCAATCTGTCCGGTTCATATTCACTCTCATTACCAGGAAAATGTTCTATTTCAGATTCACTAGAACTCATGTTTCAGATCTTGTCGCTCTTAAAATACACTGATTTCAAACACGTTACTAAAATCTATTAAAATTTCATATTTTGTGTGAAAACAAGATTCCTGTAAAAAGAAGCTTTTGCCGACATTTGGGAAAAAAATGGAATTTTGTGACTTGTGACTCTGGCTTTCCACGGCTCATATAATTTCAGAGTATGAGAACTGTATTAAATAGGGCTGGATCAAAATAATTAGGAGAGGTAATACAGGGTTATACAGATATTAGATAGTAGTAACAGGTAGTAGATTACAATACAACTATACAGAGTTTATGAATGTTTGTATAAACTGCCCACGATCGTACATAAATCGAGCCATTCCGAGTTAGTGTCCTAGCCAAGCAGTATCCCCAAAAATGTCATACAAAAGGTTTTTAAAATTCAAGAATAGTTCTAATAAACCAATGATTATCCAAGAAGCGTTTGAGATCGAAAAACGCCACGATTGCCTCAATAAAAAAGATGAAGCATCCGATTACCATCAATATAGAGACGCTGTTGATTTCATTAATTAATGCAGCTTTCGCCGTCAAGAATCTTCATCTTACCTCCCTACCAAACATCACGTTAGACGTTAGTTTAACCGATTGTTCACACTTTAAATCATTTCGTACAATGCTGTGCCACGTGATGTGAATTTTATTATTGTAGATATAAAAAATGCTCTTACTTGTTACCAGCTGAGTCTACTCTTAAAATGTTAATAGATCCGTCTTGACATATTACTCCTAAAGACTGACCACTCTCACATACTGCCATGCCATTAATATTGGATCCTAGTTTGTAGTGCTGTTTGGATCTATTGGCGATGTTTTTTCCCTCCATTTTTGCGCAGTCCCATAACCTGTTAATAAATAATGGTAACTGATTATAAAAAACACTTATATTTACAAGTCTGTTAATATAACATGAACGTAAACCAACGTACCAAGATGTAAGGTTATTATAATAGTAGTAATATCTGTTTGTGAAGTCATCTGTTCACAGGTAAGTGTCATTGATGAGGTGTTATGAACTTTAAGTGAAATAATACTTTATATTATTATTATTATTATACAGTGATGAGTGCGTTAAGACCCAGCAAAATGATGAAAAGATGGAAGACAAGTTGTGAGATAGTACGAGATACGTTCTTATACGTGGCTAGTTGACTTTAGTCATAATTATACGTATGACGTCGAAAAACATTTTATTTTAATTTCCATGTTAGAACCAATGATTGAATAAATTAAGACATATGCTAGTAAAAATTCCTTTTTGATCTGATGAATATATGTAACTTTTACAAAATAACTAAAAATTATTATAATTACCTAACTGAACCATCCGAAGAAGAGCTTGCAAAGTACGGTGTATCGGGTAGTACGCAGAGTTTGTTCACTGCACCCTTGTGTTCATGTAAGTGAGCTACCAAAACGCCCCTTAGTCTCCAACCGGGAGGAGGCAATTGTGGACGCCAGGTTGCTTGTTCCGCCCACTCTTTGTTCCTTAAAAAGGTTAAAATTTGCATAATATATAAAATATTGTTAAAAGGCAATAAAAGATTGAGGTTTCGAAACGTTGAATAAATATCGACTGTTGAAAAAATTATCTGCATACTACAATTTTTGTCACAGTTCTTTCTATTTATGATTACTGCGTGTCAATCGTTTTCAATTATCTGTGCACTAACCTAAACTCAGAGTTACGCAACGAGCCATGGAACGTGCAATGCTGAACGTGAGCCTCCGAGACCACATAACAAACCAACAAATCAGGCAAAGATCAGGAGTTCAAGACGTCATCGAAAGAACCACGTCGCTTAAGTGGAACTGGGCAGGGCACTTAGCCAGAGCACAAGATGGACGGTGGACAAGACGTATTATGGAATGGAGGCCCAGAAACTATAAAAGAAGCCGAGGACGACCACCGACTAGATAGATCGATGATATAAAACGTGTAGCGGGAAACTGGCTACAAGCGGCCCAGTGTAGAGAACACTGGAAAGAACTGAGGGAGGCATATGTCCAGCAGTGGACGCGACTGGCTGATTGATGAACCTAAACTTTATTCCTTGTTTCATTTTTCCTTGCTGGGTTGATAAATACTTTAATTTGTCTCATATTACTTTATTGACTGCATAATATTTTTAACACTACTACCAGACATTTCTGGCAAATGGTCTACAGTCTCTATCGGCGGAGTAAAACACCGCCAACGACCGGCGAACCACTTCGCCGACTGGCCTTATCGCTGCCCAGATAAAAAGTTTTACCCTAATGGTGTAAATGATACTCTGATGGCGTAGCCAGTACCTCACTGGCTGACTGCCAGACCCCGACTGACTTCTCACTATGAGGAGAGCTATGAACCAGAGAACATGAACCCTCATTTAGCTTGATGAGTCTTGAGTTGTATAACAATCAGTATTGCGCCTATCAAATACTTCTATACCAGGTACATTAGAAATGACCATTAATAAAGAAAGAAATTGCAAAAGACGGAAAACACGATATTTTTGCACATTTGGTCTATCTTGGTTGTGTATGGAGCATATTGTAGCATGTTGCTCCGAGTGCACAGGGAACAATTTGGGGTAAAATTCAAACTTATAATTTGTGCAGAGATTTTTTCTATTTATTGTTATAACAAAATTTGTGTATTTTAATAAAACACCTGAAGAAATTTTGGAAAACATTTGTTTGCTAAGGGCTAATAAAAGTTAAAGAAAGCAGAAAATGCAATGTTTTAGATTAATTGCTGTATTTAAAATAAAAAATAAAACAACAAAAATACAATAACATAAGGTCATTAAGTAATAGACACACAAACCGACAAAATACTTAAAAACATTATATGAATGTTATCTGAAATTTGTAGGTCATTTAAAGTTTTGTATGCGCTAAGGATGCTATAATTATGCGCCGATTGGCAACACTGATTCTCAGTCTGGCGCATCGATGATATTACCCGGTAAAATCTAATTCCCAGCAGGCTCTCATTTTTTCCACTTAGCGGTCGATTAGATTCCATTTTTCTGCTTTTGTCAATGTAAATAAACACTTATAAATCTGCTAACGACATTTTCCAATGCAAATAAATTGGATTTTGTTTATTCTAATCCACGGTTTTCAGGCGCAATTCTAAAATGTTTCTCTTTCGAAGAATTATTGTAAGACACCAATTAAAACCTTATACAGAGCAAAAATGCAGTTTTTTGTTAAATCGTTCACATTCTCTTGGCGTTTTATAAATATAAATAAAAGAAATACATTACCACCAAAAAATTACTTAAAAACAATGTAACGACTTCAAAGTATAACCACACTTACCTCAGAGCTTCAAAATAATGATCTTGTTGCCTAGCTTTCAGATTAGCCAATTCTATATAACAATTGGATTTTCGATCTAAAATAAAATAGAAAAACAAAAGTATATGAATATTGACATAATATTCAGAACAAAACAAAAAGAGATATAAATTTTCCATATCTACAAACCATGACCATTTAGTGACATTTAGAGTATTCACGAGCCATGTAGGGTCAAGATTTTTTCCGGTTTTCGTATAGTCAATAGTCGGGGTTGCTGCTCACGCTGCTTTCTGTATAGATATTGTGAATTTTTTGTTGCCTCTTCTATTTCTTGTAGCGTTTTTAATGGATTTTGACAATTGATTTGTGCATTTAAGTGTTCCCTAAATTCTACCCAGTTTGTTTATGGTTATATACAAATATATACGTTACATTTTTATTAGTTTCACATTTATAATATATTATCATATTAAATATTTACAATTGAAAACATCAAAAATTAAAAATAGTTTCAAATACTCACATTGAATATAAGACCTTTCATGTAAACTAACATTCGACGATGGATCAGTACTATTAAAATGATTGTTGCTATCTGGCGGTGGAGAAGAAGGTCTGCTGGAAGTGGACCTAGAAGGAGGTCCACCGGAATTCGTACTCTCCGATTGTCTTGTCAATACTTCTGAGCTATAATTCCAGTCTGAGTTAATGTTAGTGTCTATCGATCCTGAGGTGTTAGTTCTGTGTAGTCTAGGGTAAAGGAAAGTTAGGGATTAAAAAAATTGTTATTGTGTTGTATTATTTGATCTAGCATAAGTATAAAATCGATCGCAAATTAGAAAAGCTGATTGCAGATTTATCAGACACAGGTTTTTCACTAGAGCTTACAAAAACTTTTTTATAACAATTAGTAAGATGTTTGAAGGAAAACAATATAACAGGGATTTTGATTGTCTCTAATGACGAAAAACTGTACATACATTAATTGGCGGTTTAGTTATTTCCAAAGTATGGTTAGGAGTCCATTACCTCTTATTCTGTGAGGTAACCTGGCCAGAAACATAAACCCAAGAACTATCTAAAAAATGCGTTACATTCGCATTATGTAGATTATTTTGGAGTTGTTATTAAAATTCTAACCGCCTTGGATGATTCCCTGGAAGATGCACATTTAAACATTGAAGAATTCTATTTTTTGAGATCTGGATTCTTCGCAGATTACTACAAATTTCATTGACCATTTACCGACAAAGATTTATTGATAAGATCATGTATAGAGACAACTTTTAAATACTGTCAAAAAAAGAAGAGGATCATATTTGGGCTAATTGTTGAGAAGCTCCAAATATATCATCTCACAACTCACACTGTAACGTAAAATAAGATGATAAGAGTATCAAAGCCAAATAAATCGAATGATTATAAATAATAATGCAAATAAAATAATTTAATATTAAATATTAGCATTTTTGTTATTTTTTTAGCATGTTCACATCCTAGATTAATTAGTATTCTAACATACCTGTTGGCCATGTAATCGCCTTTTTGTGCATCTCCCAAAGTATAAATATGACTCTTAACTGAACTGTTAATCGAGCTAGTTTCAAGTCTTCCTTCAGCAGGTCTATTTTGCCGCCCGTCAAGGTGTAACTTATATTTGTTTATCTTTTTCAAGTGATGTGACATTTTCAAGAAATACTCCTCCATCGTTTCGTTCAATCCGTTAGCTTCCAATCTTCTGAATAACTGTCAATAAAAAAAAATAAAAAAATACGATTATTTGAAAAATTAAGACGTTAAGAAACTGACAGCAGCAACAACTAACACATTCATGGAAGAAGCTGAGCTGTCTCTGGAAAGGAATGCCAAACGCATCTCCTTTGGAGACTCTGAGGATGTGAAAAATTTATTAAAAATTCGAGAAAAAATATATGAAAATACAAAATACGATGAAAAAATTACAAGTAAAATACACAATTTGAAAAAGTCTTAAACACACAGAACACTTAGCTTGAACTTGGGGGGACCGGATGTTTCTGCATCTCCCTCTGTGGCAGGCTCTGTCTGCGGTCGGTGTACCATTCCTCTCAGCGGGTTCGTCTTCTCTGCAATCAGGTTGTCCATTGCTACGTCCAGCGTGTAGTAGCTTGCTTCCTATATGACGTTCAGTTACCAGGTAAGCACTACTAGCTACTCCGGAGGACTTTTCGGTAGGTTCCGGGGCTTCAAGCGTCGAAGAAGGCTGGCTTGTTGAGACATCTGGCACACGTAAGGCGTCCGGACTGCTACAGAGCTCGATGGCGGAGTATTAGAGTATAGCTTTCTAATACTCCGCGACTCTCCCCACTGTTCTCTTGACTTCAACCTATGTTGAAGTCAATTGTGTCTTGTAGTACTAGGTTTTCTTATGTGTACTTGCACCGAAGAATGAAATAAAACGCTGATTTGAAAAAATACAAAACAAGCCTCAGAGTCTAGGTGAGGAAGTCGAGGCAGAACCCCGCTAATCGGCTCCCTAGAGTACTGGGCTCTAGGAGAGTCCGAGGTAGGATGAGAACTGAAACTGCACTGTCGTTGGCTTAGAATTCAACTCTAATTTATACATAATATTTTACACGATTCCAAGCCAAACGACCAATAGGAAAATTGAAAAAGGAAAGGAAGGCGGGGCGATGTGCGCCAAAAATGCTCATTGGTCAGTTCTGACCGAGCACTTGGGGACAGTTTAAGCAATAATTAAGTTGTTTTATTCACAACAGACCGGCAAACCTAGGAAATAAAAAATTTTCTATATATATATATTCAAATATATATTTAGAATTTCTATATATATATATATATATATATATATATATATATATAACAAATAGAGTTTCATTTCATACAGACCAATTGCTGAGACTACAAATAATATTTAACACAGTACGGTCGAGAATAATTTGATAAATATATATATATATATATATATATATATATATATATATATATATATATATATATATTATATATATATATATATATATATTACGATCAAATACTTACATTTTTTAAACTCGGTTGATAATCCCTATGAAAATCTGTAGTCGGAACTTTACCCGTATTGACACATTCTCTCAAAGATCGTCTTTCCTTTAATAAATCAAAGATTGAGTCTATTTCATTGTAACTAACCACACTATCGTAAACATTTCTTGGTATAGGACTAACGAGAGATTCCAAAAGTAATTCCGGCCTAAAACAGACATAAATATATAAAATTTTAAATAAAATATTATACAAACAAAATGAAACTGAAAATAAATAATATACTCACTTATCAATTTGAATCAGAGGATACTTCATATAAATCTTCAACTTCGGCATCATTTTGCATTGTACGTCCAATATGGTCAAACTTTTAGCAGCTGTAGATATAAAACCTGCCACAGCTTGTCTCACCCACAAACTCGGGTGTACCAAAAAATACGAGCATTCCGTCACTAACTCACAAAGAGACGGCTTGGTAATGAGACCTAGTTCTGTTAAAGACGACATTGCATTTATGCTTTTTGCTGTTACAAATTCGGAGGAATCAGTCAAGCCCTGAAAGATAAAGATAAAATGAACAAATGATTCAAAATAAAGTTTTATTCCACATTCCACTCTCACAGCCTCATTCGGTATTGGCATATACACCATGCGAGGAACCATGAGATCCCGCAGCTCCAGCGCACTGGTGAGAGAAAAGAAGCATTCGTCATCAAAAGTAGCTTATAATCATATCGCACCCTCAGTGCAAGACTGCAGTAAGTTAGAATAAGTAAGTTTCGAGATAAAGACGATTTTGATTAGTTTCGTGCTAATATCGATGAAATAAGACATAAGTTTTAAGAAAAATTAACATTTAATTATGATTTTGCATGCTTTTCAGCCTATATTACATTAACCAAAAATAGAAATTTAAATAAAATAATATTAATGCTAAAAAAATTAGGAATTTTAAAGTAACAACACTTTTGCACGGAGAAAATTGCTAATCACTACACATTTAGTATTAGAATTTGCACGGAGAAAATTGTAAAAAGTGTAAACACATTTTCTGTTAGTTGTTGTCCTCTTCTCGTATATCATCTTGGGCCAAATATTTTTTTAAAACTATGGTGGGCTTCTGGTATCATACCCGAATTAGCATAAGTATACCAAATCTTTCTTGTTGGCCATTTGAATTTTTGACTGTTCTTTGTAGACAGGTTTAAGTAGCACTTCTCGTATATTATGTGTAGTCCGTGATGATTTTTTTAGATTAAAAAAAAATTTAATTCTCTCTAGTACTTTTACTCAGGTCATTTATTTATAATAAAAAAGAACTGAATAAGATCCAAGTTGCCAACAAGTCGGTACGTTTCAATTCAGTTCAGTCTTCTCACAAATCTTCCTGATGAAAGGTAAACCTTGGAAATACGTGTAGAAGAATGGTGAGAGATTCGAATTGAATCGAAACGCAACCGTCTATAATTATTTTGAATAAGATCCCTTTATAAGCTAAAAAATTGATAAGTTTCTTCTCATTTCAACGGACGGTTAAAAATCTTTTATCCAGGAAAGTATATTATTCAATAAATGAATCTTGTAATGACACTTTTTGATAATTTTTTAATTGAGATACTGCGTAATTCTTATATATTTCAGATTTCAATGTTTATGTTATCAGTCTTCTCTCCTTCTCTTCAGCCTTAAGTAATCCAACTTTAAACTTATTCCTCCCCCAAATCAATCCAGTATTTTCTATTTTGCGTCACTTGCTTCCAATTATGTCCTCCGATCTTCTTAATGTCATCAGCCGATCTCATTTGTGGTCTTTCTCTGCTAGTTTCTTTCCTAACCATGGTCTCCATTGTTGCACTTTGTGGTTTCATCTTTTATCCTTCAGTTGAGCATTATGTCCTGTGAAGCTTAATTTTAATTTGGAAGCATGTTCTTCTGCGTCTTTTACTTTGGTTTTGCTTCTAATCCATGTTTGTTTTTTATCTATAAGTCTCACCCCGAGCATTGATCTTTCCATCGCTCTTTGTGCCTTTACTATTTTATCCATATTGGTGAGTGTCCTGTTCTGTCCAATTCTGGTTTTCAAATATTGTTCTATTTGAGTGCTTTTCAAGATCCAACTCAGTTTTCCAAATCCTGCCCATGCTAACCTTATTATTTTAGTAATCACGGCAGTTTGATGTTCTTTGTTAACTTTTATTATCTGTCCCAAGTAGATGTACTAGCTTACTGTTTCTAACAGTATTTCTCTTCATTCAACGTTATTTCTCTAATTTTCGGTGTATTTGTCATTATTTTTTTTCTAAGTTTATCTTAAGACCTACTTTTTCCGAAGCTTGAAATAGTTACGTCATCATGGTCTGTAATTCTTCGAAACTTGTAGCGAATATTACAATGTCATCAGCGTATCTTAAATGACTCAGTTTTCTTCCATTAACATTTATTCCTTTATCTGCCCAGTTAATGTCTTTGAACACATCTTCCAGTCCAAGTGTGAATAGCTTTGGTGAGATAACATCTCCCTGGCGAACTTTTCTGTTGATTGGTATAGCTTTGGTTTTTGCATCTATTTGTATTTTCATTGTAGCTTTCTTGTAAATATTATCTATGAACATTTTCATAAGAGAAATATTGTCAAACTTTCATTCCAATTATCTGGGACTTCTCTGTGAGGAGATTTGTTATTAGTCTTACATTTGTTTATTCGAAATATTTTTGAATGGTTATTTTTGTATTAAGTAATAACAATATGGCTTTTCTAATAAGAGCTGTACTTTCTGCGATAGGAGATGTATTAATTATAGATTGATCCCCGGTAGATCCTCTGGTAAATATAACAATATTGAAAAAATAAGTATGTTAAATATATGGGCTAAAACACTTACCTGAAGTAAAAGTGGAGCGAGAATTCCCGAACAATGCCATCCTATATAGGCAGCCACACCGACAATACATTCGAAAAATGTACCTCTTAATTCTTTATCCTCCTTGTCGTTTAAAAATGTTATCATATGCGAAAAAAGCACATCATTAGCTGAAATTATAAAATGAGAAACATAAGTTGTAAAGCAAATGAAAAAGTGGATCTGAAAATAGTAATTAAAATGTCAAATATTGATTTCTATAGAAATAAAAAAACATTTAGTAATAAAATTTAAATCAAAACGAACAAAGACGATAATTTACATTTACATTTAAAAATAAAAAATCAGCCAGAACTTTTCTAAGAGGGATAATAATATTGTTAATAGTAAATAAATTTTTTTAAATACATTTGAATTTAAAAAATACAATGTAAATACATTTATTGTCTTGATTGTTCTTGAATAATGAGCAGTACGGTCGCGTTAATCCGAACCCAAGTTAGTTCGAACGACGCGGTAGTCCGAAAGAGCTCGCGCAACCCCCCCCCTCCCCAAGGACTTGTGATTAAAAACCATTTGACACCTGAGCAGATTTACAATTCAGATGAAAGTGAGTTATTTTGGCGCATATTACCAGACCACACATTGATGTTATCTCAAGAAAAAAACGCTCCTGGTCGAAAAATTTCGAAAAAAAGAATCACCTTTATGCCTTGTGCAAATGCTTCGGAGACTTACAAACTTCGTTTGCTTGTTGTTGGGACGGCTAACAAACCTCATGCATTCACATCTGTTGATCTTTCCGTATGGTATCGAAGGCAAAAAAAGTGCATGGGTGCAAGAGATTTGTTCTTGGTACCTCTAGGGTACCTTTAATTTAAACTATTTCATATTAACCATTGTAAAAAATGTAACATTGGCATCAAACAATAGCAATATCGTTAAAGGTTAAAATACAGAATATACATTTTATAAATAAGTATGAAATAACTTACCTTTAGTTTTCCCGAAGAATACACACAATTTGGTGATGCCGCTGTCCATTAATGTTTGCTTTACAATAGACTGTGTATCTGTTAAGAGAGCACTGACGGTCTGTGAGATCATTTCATGTAATGCTTGTAACTCCAATTCGTAATTGAAAGTATGTTCATCTTTTTGTTTGTTGGTACTGTTGTTGTCGTACCAATCATTTTGTATTTGTTCCAAGTATCTATAAATTAAATTCAAATATATTAAATATTGTAACATTTTAAAAGCCAGCAAAAGTAGATGTATTATTAGAATAATATTACACAGAAACTTTTTGCAGTAGGAGCAATTTTGTAAAGGTCATCCAAAATCTGTTGTTGCGCCAAAAACATTGACTGCATATGTGAACTACTAGTTAAAAACGTTAAAAAATATGGAATGAACATTTAGTGATTAGTGAATAAGTGAAAAATGGCTTTTCAACTAACTTACCTTAGTGATATTTCAGCTAGAGTAGCAATATTTTTAGCATAAGCAGCTCTAACACAAGTATTTGGGTCGGTAGCTAAGGGAGCAAGCTCTGGAAGAATGTATTCTGGAAATATGTTGGCGTCAGATCGGGATATCTTCGTTACTAAGTCCAAGCATTTGGTAATCGTGTTTATGGCTGAAATTTTTACTCGCGTGGAGCTATCATGCGCCAAGTACATCTACGAAGTAAATACTATTACGATTTGATCAATTCTTTTAAGAAACATCTTTCATTACGAATTAATTTAAGCAGAAACCTTAAAGCTTCCAGATACACATCTAAAGATATGCTGTTTTGCCATTTTTTGTCTAAAAGTTTGTGTTCCAGCCAAGAAAGGACTAGCTTCATATTAAATTGGTCCTCTAGCAACTTGAGGTAGGCAGAAACACAAACTAGAAGACAAAAAAAACTGGAACAAATGTTTACTGAATATTCACTAATATTTAAATTACACAGATTTATTAATAGTATAAAAATAAGACTTACTATATAAGGAAGTATTCTATCTAACACAGTTTCATCACTAGCATGAGAAGCCAGATCCAGCAAAATTTCCAAGCTATAAAGTTTGGATGAACATGTGTGAAGTCCTCTAATACAAGAAGTTACCAAAGACGTAATAATCACTAAACCTTCACATTCGCCTTTATCCACTTTTTCCCCATCAGATTTTTCACTCTCATTATCCTTAGATTTAGTCATAGGTCCCAGAAATGTAAAAATATCATTGATATCATGCTTCAGGCGCATTATTTTATCATCAGCAGATAATATGGGATTTGAAGAAAATATAAGCATGTAAGATTGTAAAAATGAGAAGAAGTATTCTGGGAACAAAGTACCACGGTATTCTGCCAAGTAGTCATCTGCCCTTTTCCTTTTTGTTGGATCTTTTTCTATCATACTTGATATGAGGGATCTCAAGTTTGGATCATCTAGTTTGTTGAGGTGTTTTTCTGGAGAATACTTCCCAGAGCAATAGGCTAACAGTTGGGAGTACTCAAATGGAACATGAAGTTCATTCCACAGTTCCAACAAAGCACATCTAAAAAAACATTAAGTTATATTAGAAAATATATATTTGCAATAACTGAAAAAAAACCTGCCGCCCCAAAATGTTTCAAAAAGATCACTTAAATATTCATTAATTCTATCTAGCAAGGATTAATTCATTTGTTGTTCATTCATAAGTTGTTCATTAATGAACAACTTATTGGTAATATGAAATACAAATACTTATGTTACCATACATACTGTAACATTTTTTTTAGTTTACTTTTGTTACTGGCTGTATCTGTTTTGGCAATAGCGTGTTGTATCCTATTGAATTGCCTTATTGAAGGCGTAACAAAACTACTGTACTTAAAATTCATCTGCTTGAATAGAAAAATTCAACCCTTTGGTGGATCAACAGTTAAGATTTGTCACACCATATATCTTCAATAGAGTTGGTCCTAATAAAAGTTTTAAAATACTTTTTCTAAGTAATATAATTCAAAGTATAACATTTTTTATAAATAAATTTCCGAGTAAAAGTTGTAGAAAGTTTCTTTCTGTATGTGTCTTTGGCAGAAATAAGAGAAAGGGAGATTTTCTTTCAGGGACAGTTTGTTAAATTTTTGGGGGAACAAAAACAATTTGGTGTGAGTAGTCAAAGAGTTAAGTAGTCTGTAAATTTCTTAAAGTGTTGTCAGCAATTTTATCTTAGAAAGTACTTTAATCTAAGCTAGATTAGATTAAATCCATCTATATCTATTACTACCTTTAATTGTTGGTAATTTAATTTGCTCCATACTAATACATTTAAGTATAGCAAAGTAAGTTTAGAGTCAGTGCGATTTTAAGTGTGCAGATCTACAAGACAACTGTAATTAATTAGTTTACCTTCATATTGTCATAAAAAGCGGAGAGATTGCTAAATCTTTGGTGATGTATGAGCAATCTTTTTCACCTGTCTTCAAAAGTAATTAATGCTGCTACTGGATTCCTTGTAGAGTGATCTCTAGGTATACATCAATTTTCAGCCAATCAGAACATTTAATATTTACAGACATTTTTAATGTTTAGTAAGAACATTTATTTCATTGAAAACAGTGCTGTCTTTTCAGTGTTTTCTATAGTATTACTTCATTTGCATTATTGAATTTAGAGTTTCCTTTATCTCAAGATAAGCTCAGACAGTAAAGAGTAATTTTTTTTCTCCTTCATTGAATTTTTAATTAACAGCATCTCTCTTTACTGATCGATTTACTTTTACATGTATTTCCTATATATTGTGTATGTTGAAGGTAATTTTTATCAATTTATTGTTTATTTTTATATGTAGCCAACCAGGTGTTAATTGTTGGTACATTTTTTGTATTTTTGATGCATTCAACTCTATATGATGAAGCTAACGGTTTCCCATTTTATTTTTTTGTTTTGATTCAACCATTTGTTAAATTGTTGTTCAATATATTGTTTTCAATCATTAGAAGTGATGCAAAATTCTTGAGAACAAAAATAATTACAAATATTCCCAACACTAAGAATTTTTTGGGAATGACCTACCAAATGTGTTTGCCAGTATCTTCATAACTTGATCTTGCTCAATCAATTGTATGTTTTTTTCTTTAATAGAGAAATATTTAAGATTATTAAATCATACATTTGTTCTATTCCAGTTTTATTGTAAAGTGTTCTATTTGATGGTTATGAAGTGGGTTATTAGGATCATACATTCCAGTAATTTGTCAAAGGCTAGCTTAGCTGTTTCACCCTTTTTTATATTATTTTTAGCAGGAACTTTACAATTATAAAAAATTGTTTATTTTTTTATAATTTATTGGGGAAAATGATTGGTATTTACAATTGGTTTATAAATTTTATATAACCTCTAAGGCTATTTTGTATTTTGATAATATTTTTCTCTTGCTAATTTTTAATTTCCTACTTTTTATAAACTTTTTTCATTTTTTAACATTATTACACTTTTTGTATATTTTCATAATAAAAAAAACAAAAATTTTGTTTATTTCAAAAAAATTGCATTTTTAGGGACCTTTACTAAAGTAAACAACTACCAAGAGATGAATACATTTAAATACTAAGTAATATATAAATAATTTATTATTTTAATAAAATAAAACAAACTTACCCTGCAGAGAAAATATCCATAGCAGGAGTTAAATCTCCAGAGTCACAGTTTGCTTCAGCAATCAATGAGCTGCTCTCTGTAATTGTGGTACTTGTGCTGGAGAATCTTTCAGGAGCTAAATAGCAAACTCTTCTTCGTGAGGTGTCAAAGAAATAAGAATAATCTGCTGGATTATCAACTGGAACAAATGTAGGCTTGAAGGAAGCGAAATCAACCAACAGTACCCAGTTCCAGGATGTGACTGTAATATTTTCAAGTTTAATATCTCCATGACAAACTCCTACTTTATGACATTGATGCAAGGCATACAATATCTGAAAAGTTATCCAACGTTTTTCAATATTTGTTAAAAATGGCCTTGTACTAATTCTATCATACAAACTATACTTAATATATTCTCTCATAATGATTCCTGCCTTCTCGGTTAAAATAATTTTCTGGTAAGGTATACAGTTAACAGCTGAACTTAATTTCTTCCTTACATCTTCAAGGTGATCTTTATATGGGGAAAGGGGTAAAGATGGATCATGAATTACAAAAACTTTAACTACAATTAAACCTTCTTGAGATTCCGCCCGCGCTACTTTTAGAAATCTGGTGCTTCCCAAACTACAAAAACAAAACACAGTTAAAAGTATCACAAACAAAATCTATTATTTACCTTGTATCAAATTTTAAGTTCGGGATATCTGTCAAATATCGTTCCACAGGGAAAATTTGGGATGGGGCTATGCCCACAAGTTGATTTCCCATAATTAAAATTTATTTGTATAATTATAATAATAAAAATTAAACATTAAAATATTGATATTAAAATGATTGTTGTTATTAGCAAGCATGTCATCAACTGTCATATAAAATAAATAAATTGTCAATGTCAATACAATTATACTTTCTAGGCATCTTTAGGAAAGTGTTAAAAAAATATAAACATTAATTATTAAAAAACCGTTCTACCACAGAATGTGGTTCTACTATTTATTATTAAATTTAAGTTAATGTGATCCAAATTTATTGCTCATATTTATCAGCTCCTGTAGATAATTTTTTTTGTGTAATGAAAACATCTGACTCTGACAGTTCTAAACAGAAGACATCTGTTTAATGTTTTTCTAGGTTATATCACATACTTTCTAATTTGTCACAATAAAATTAATTTTAAGAGATGCTAATTATTACTGTTTAATTAAATTTGTCATAATGGAAGTAAGCCCTTTATGTATAATTTTGGTAAAATCAGACAGTAAAGGTGACAGACTACTATTTAGGTATCCTTTTCAAACTCAACATAGCAATGAACCCTCAGGGACTCGACGAAAAAATCCTTATACTCTTCCTGTAGTAGATGATTTGCTACAGAGAAATAATCAGCCACATTCTAATATTAATAAAGAAAATTTAACAGGATTTACTGATGAGGTTCTTTCTTCCCTTTTTGCAGTTAAAACTGAATTGTGTAACCGAAAGTTTGAGCTTAAAGTTAATGATGTTAGGTTTGTAAGTCATCCAACATTACTTCAACTTAGAAACAAACAGGAGAAAGAGGATGAGTCTGGTATGTTAGTTAATATTGTGTTTGCTTTACAAGCTTTGGCGAGTCACTCTGTTGGTAAGTTTAAAATAACCTTTTTGAACAAATGTTTTTATCTCGATTAGTTAGTTTATTTAAAAATAGTCAAGTGAACCGATTTGGTTTTACAATGTATTTATTAATGAGTAGTTATATTTTAGTTAAATGTTATCATGACTTGAGTAAAAGAATGGGAATTGTTTTGAAGTATGAAGAAAAAAGATGTGGGTATGTATCTGAGCAGACTCAGTTAATGACTACAGCTCATGATGATGGTTATACCAGTGGTCCAGGCAGTGCTTTTAAAATAATTTTGGAAAAGTGTTCCTTAGCTGGAAATATTAAGAAAATGTATGATGATCTATGTTCAACTGGTAAATATTTCCTTTTAATATCTGAGTAAATTTTTATCATTTTTTTTTTCTAGGATTGGTTAGTTTGAGAATAAATAGATGGATACCTTTAAGTTTTTGCTTACCACAAAAAGTTCATCAGTGGCACATGAGGGGCAAAATTGTAGAGCCTGGTGATATTGACAGGTTTGTTATGATTTTAAATGTTTTATTTAACAATTTATTTATTTAAATAATGCATACTAGTAATGTATGCAAAAAGCAATACAAATTAAAAAAAGAAATGTTGAAATCCATAAACAAGAACAGCTCCTTCTCCCTACATCACTGCCATGAGTTTCAAAGCCAACCGATTTTAAGGACCACATTTTGAAGCTTTGTGGATGATTCTGTTGAAAGGCAATCTTTTTAGAATTTGGCACATTAAAACTTTAAAGTATTTTTTCTCAAATAACACTAATTAGATCTCTTAATTGTTATAAACAAAGCTGCTGTAACTTATTAAAAAAAGAGACTAACTTTGTCCCTAATTATCCTAGGACTACGAGGTTAAAAAGGTATTCTAATTGTTTATTAGCAAATATTAACATGTTTTTGCAAAATGATCTTGCAGTATTCAAAATTAATTACTGTTCATTATTTTCTGACTTAAATTGTTGTCAAAAAAAAAATAATAATAATAATTTAGGACAAATAAGTAAAACAACTTGACAGATTACTTTGAAATTGTCATCATATTTTAACCACAACTCTTAACATTCCATATAATATGAAGGTTCTAAGTTCATTTTTTAAAAGTTATTATCAGTTTTTATATGACCTTCTTAGCCTCAAATATCTTTCAGGTCTTTCACTTTTTGCTAATAGATAAAAAAAAATGAGCATCTTCAGCTTTTTGACCTTAATTTGTTAATAACTAATTAAGTCCAAAAAGTTGACTACAGGAAACATTTAGGTTCTTGTATATAGGTCCATACTACTCAAAACAAGTGTTGTTGACTGGTGGGGTCAGTATCATGAACAGGTTACTTTTTTACTTATTATTGTTATTATATTGAACTATAGCTCCAAATATTTTCTATTTAAGGTTACAGTTTTTTATTTTTTTTTTTAATTTATTTTTAGATGTTTAAATGCCTTAAGACCGTATCACAGTTTATTGCTTCTTCATCCTCTGCACCAAATGAACGATTTCACATCTTTAGATGGGTCTCCTTCATTGGATAGAATGCTATCACAATATTCTCCTTTAAAAAATCTGCAAGCATTAGCATCTGATTCTGACCTGACATTAACACATGTAAGTCATTTAATATGGAATGTGAATACTCTAAATACTTCATTGCAAATGACATTATTCTCAGAAATAAATTACTGAAAGGTAAATTGTTGTAGGTTTTTGAACTGACAGCTCATTTAGTATACTGGGCAAAGGCGACAGTAATATTTCCAGTATGTTCTACCAACAAATATATCATCTCTCCAAATGCCCCCATTCACATTCATTCACCACTAGTAGATAAGTTTAGCGAAGCATTTCCAGGTAAGTTATAACATAAACCAAATTAATTACTATAGGTGGCACTGTGATTCTAACACAGTATCATTTAGTATACCGGACAAATAATTTATCCTTTTTTAATGCATACTAGATATTTTAACAGTTTTCTTAAAAACTGTTTCCAGAGAAGTCATTTGTGTGGATCAGTATGTCGCTTTTCAATTAATTTAACTTTATTAACATATTAAAAATACAATTTGTTAACAAAATTCTCATTTAGAAAACTTTGTCACCGAAAATCACACAAGAGATCTTACTTATCACTTATATGATTTTCTCCATGCTTCCTTTTATTCTTTTCAATGTTTGTTTCGAAAAAAATTTTATCACTAGCGTCACATAATTCTTTTGTGTCCTGTGGCATTACGTTATTAACACAAGTAAACTTATTAAAATGCCTCCTTTGAAATGTTGTCATCCTGAACATAATTATTTTCTAGTCTTTCAAATTAGCTAGAGGACACCTCCCCAATTTTCTAGCCTTTGCCATATTTCTTAACTTAGTCTCGGCTACTTTATTCTTTGTCTTTGTGTCCAAAATGTCTGTAGTCAGCTGTCCTCTCATCATCATTCATCGTTTATGTAGCAAAGAAAATATTTCTGCTTCCTTTGGGATTCCCATATTTATTTGAGTTACTCCTAGATGTCGCTGATGTATGTGTACCTTTCTAACTTCGCATACTTTGAGCAATCCTCCTTGCTGCAACTTCTCTCTTCCTGCTTTTGGAATTTAAGTTTGTCTTTCTTTTTCTTCACTTTTGGCTTTATTGAATAATATATTTTATCTTCATTTGAAATTTTGACTCTACTACTTAATTGTTTAGCCTTTGTAGTTATAACTATCTAATAAATTTAGAGATCATCAGCACCTTTTAATCAACCTGTATCTGGGTTTTTGCACAGCTTATCAGCTTATTTATAACTTTTCTTCCTCCTAATTCACATTTTTGTCACAAGTCACAAGTGTGAGTTTTTGTTTGTCAATATCTGTGGTAAACTTGAAACATATACAATAGTTTTTTGTGATTCATATACATATTAAACCAAGTAGATTCTCTAGATTATTTCAAGCTTATTTGAAGTTTTTCCTGTTAACCTTTTTATTTTTCTTTTCTATCTTTACCATTGGATGATCCTATTTTATTTAAATTTTTTTAGGATCTATGAATATACAATTCATCTAATGTCTTGCCATAAAATCTTCATCTAGTTTTGGATTGTTAAAAACTAAGCATTTTTTTTATTTTTCTGAACAGTTTGGAATCAGTTTTTTCAGTTGTCCCTTCAACTTCGGTATTTTTCTTTCTATTGTTTATAGTAATTGCTGCTATTCTATCATTGTTACCAGTCTTTGTATTTTCAGGTTATTTTCCGTCTTCATTCATTCGATGTATCGCCTCTCAGCTATTTATTACTTTTTGTTTCCATTTCATGACCACCGTATTCAATATAACAATCATCAATTTTTGCATTCTATGGCAATTGTTACCTATTTTGTTTAGTTACTCTTTTCACCTTTAATCATTACCTAAATTCATCCCACTTCTGACACCAATTGTAATGATTTTTCTATAACATGTTTTATACATAAAAAAGTTATTCAACAATAAACGAAACTTTATTAACATTTCAAAAATATACATGATATACATAATATGATTTTACAGGTTGATGATGTTGTTTCAGGTTTAAACTTAATAAGAGTCATTAGCGAATTTTCATTGCCGACCTCTTTAGGACAAAAATGCAATCCACTGTGTCATCCTACGCAACAGTCTCAACTGGTACAGACAATTATTTGGATGCTGCAGCATCACCTTCTATTACAACTTCACACATACATTCAGTATATGCCCACTGATAACGGATTGCTATCACATAAAACGTAAGTAAGCCATCTATTAATTCAGCTACTCTCTTAATTTTGCAAGCATTTAGTGCTATATTAACAAACAGTTCAGTAACAAACAGTGAATTATTCTTGAAGGACATTATATTGATCAATAAGTCCGAATTTTGCTTAAAACTTGTTGTTTTTTTAGTTGTATGTATTGTCAATGTTGTAGTAATAGTTTACAATTTTACGTATACATTAAAAGTATTACTTTTTTGTTCTAGTGATAACCATAAGAAACATTTGACATCACCATCTCCTAGAAGTAGTACTGTAATGTCAAATTACCAAATAAATCACACAGAAAGAACTGAATCGGAAAGTGGAGCATCAACTATATCAGAGGCACCGGAACTAATAACTAACAGAAATATTACGTAAGTTTACGTTTACTGACCTTTAGTTGATTTAAAATTGAATTATTTGTCCTGTGATCGGCCCACGCAATTCCTAACATTCTTCTCAAACAGAACATTTTAGTGGCCTTTATTTTTCTTCTTTTCTCTTGTCCTAACGTCCGTATGTCTGTATTGTGAATAATAAGCAGCTTATTAACCTCATTTTTAGAGTTTTGGGAGTCCTTCCATATTGTGGTCATCTTTCCTAAGGCGACTTTTGCTAGATCATAACATTTGAATAATCCGTACAAGTAATTTCATAAATACTATATTGTATTTATTTCTACCATTACCTTCCACAGTGTATCCCTGTTTACAGAAGCAGAAGCTTGTTTAAAATCTACAAAAATTTGATCTTTGTTGTATTCCCAACTCTTTTCTAAAATTTGGCGCTAGATAAAGATCTGGTCTATTGTTGATCTTCCCGGTAGGAAGCCACACTGATAATCTGGTAATGGTGAATTGATCTTCTCAGTAGAATAATCGACGTATAGCCCAGTCTGGTTATACAAAAAATCATCGATTTCACGGCAAAATGTTTCGCAGATATTTGAAGCTTTTAAGACATAGGTGGGGGTTACTAGATGACGAATAGATAAAAAGATACTCCTAGTTTTGCGTTGCGTTTGTTTAAACAACAATTTATGGTCAAAATTTGATTTTTTTATCTATAAGTTTTTTCCCTTATAATTTAAATAAACAATATTTATACCATTTTTTTTATATCAAGAATATCTTTATTTTCCCGTTTTTTCAATTAAAATTGATTTATAATTTGCGGAGATATTTGTCAGAAAGCAGTTTTTTTGCACTAATTTATAAATTTAATTAATTTTTTTATTAACAAAATAAAATGTTATTAATACATTTTAACATGGAGGAATTACCGTCCTTTAAATTTGTGCGAAATTTCACCCCGATCGGTCAAATAGTTTAAAAGTTATTCAATTTGTTTATCCTGGGACTAATTATTTAAACCATTGAGCTTGCCTATGAATGACACTAGACACATTTAACAAATTTCATAGGATTCTTTAAGACTTATACTATTTCAGAAGTTAAATGCATATTGAGTTTTCATCGAAATTATTTACAAAATAAACGTTTGAAAAAAGGGGTATGTTTTTTACTTATAAACAATTGTAATAACTTCTTTATTTTTCAAGCTACATACTTGTACGTACAACCATTGTGTAGCTGGTAAAAAAACTCACATTTAACAAAAAAATTAACCTTCTATGAACAATAGGAACGAAGTTAGCGACAATTTTTTTGTTAATTATATCTCCGTTGTTTATAAACATTAAGAAGTAAAATTTGCACAAATATTGAATGAAAATCTAAACTTAATATTGAATTTTATAGCTATAAAATTCATTCAATTTTTTCGAAATTTAAAGCCTTTTGAAATAAAGTTACTTTCGAAAGATATACTTTGGATAATTTAATTCCCGAAGAGACATTAAAGCACATTACATGCAAATGCACCACAGGTTGCAAAACTACTAGATGTGGGTGCAGAAAACGTGGTTTAAATTGTACGAACTTGTGTATAAATTGTACTGAGGAAGAAGAAGAGGAGAAAATATGCTGCAACCTCGGTACAGTTACGTTTGATGACGACAGTGATCTGAAGAAGTATATGTATAGACTTGCTTAATAAGTGAAGACAAACAACGTGCAACAAAAAGGTTCAGAGCTGACAGTGAAGTCGAATAAATGAACCAAATTTTAACTTTTAAACCAATGTATGTAAAGAAAATAAAAAAAAGTAAAGTTCAATAAACATTGCAAAATGTAATAAGGCAAGTGATGAAAAAATCGACTTATTTTATCAAAGCAGTAAGCATCATTGATATAAAATGAAAAAACATATGTTGATTTTCCGGGATTTTCCGAGATTTATTGGGGGTGAAAATTATGTCATCATTATTAATACTGCGACAGACTATTCGAGCAAATTAAAAAAAGTAAGTATTTAGCGTGAATTTCAAATAGACTCAATTTTTCCGAGTTTTCCCATTTTTCGGCCAGTGAAAACTATGTAGTTATTAATATTTATAAAAAAAGAGATACATTTTATAGCTATAACTTTCAATATAAAGTTTAGATTTTCATTCAAAATTTGTGCAAATTTTACTTCTTAATGTTTATAAACAATGGATTCTTAATATTGTTCTGAAGCTATTTTCTTGTGGCATTGTAAATTAATTGCTATTTATAACTGGGAATAAGCCACAATTAAAGATAAAAATACATTTATTGACGTTTCAATTTCCAATTCGGAAATCGTTCTCAAAATACAAATAGTAAATTAAACAAATTTTGTTTTTGTTTAATTTACTTTAAACAAAAAACAAAATTTGTTTAATTTACTATTTGTATTTTGAGAACGATTTCCGAATTGGAAATTGAAACGTCAATAAATGTATTTTTATCTTTAATTGTGGCTTATTCCCAGTTATAAATAGCAATTAATAAACAATGGAGATATGATTTTTTTAAAAATAGTCGCTAACTTCGTTCCTATTGGTCATAGAAGGTTTTTTATTTTTTAATGTGAGCTTTATTACCAGCTATCCAATGGTTGTACGTACAAGTCTGTAGCTTAAAAAATATAGAAGTTATTACAATTGTTTATAAGTAAAAAACATACCCCTTTTTCAAACGTTTATTTTGTAAAATAATTTCGATGAAAACTCAATATGCCTTTAATTCTGAGATAGTCTAAGTCTTAAACAATCTTATGAAACTTGCTAAATGTGTCTAGCATCATGCATAGGGCAAGCTCAATGGTTTAAATAATTAGTCCCAGGGATAAACAAATTGAATAACTTTTAAACTATTTGACCGATCGGGGTGAAATTTCGCACAAATTTAAAGGACGGTAATTCCTCCATGTTAAAATGTATTAATAACATTTTATTTTGTTAATAAAAAAATTAATTAAATTTATAAATTAGTGCAAAAAAACTGCTTTTTTGCAAATATCTCCGCAAATTATAAATCAATTTTAATTGAAAAAACGGAAAAATAAAGATATTCTTGACATAAAAAAATGGTATAAATATTGTTTATTTAAATTGTAAGGGAAAAAACTTATAGATAAAAAATCAAATTTTGACCATAAATTGTTGTTTAAAAAAAACGCAACGTAAAACTAGGAGTATCTTTTTATCTATTCGTCATCTAGTAACCCCCACCTATGTCTTAAAAGCTTCAAATATCTGCGAAACATTTTTCCACCTTTTTTTTTAAACAGACTGGGCTAGTAACTTTGTAGGTTGTATGAATTAATAATATTCCTCTATAGTTCCTACATATATGTTTATTTTTTTAAATGATCCTTTTATTTAAACGTTGAATCTTTGAATGGTGTTTTAGATTAGAGAATGTTAGTTTTACATCTACAGAAGAGGACAAACAGGACTACCAGGAGGAGTTACTTCTGGATTTTCCTGATGAAGAGAGAAGTTCTATTTTCAAAGTAAGTACCATTACATATATTGATGGCTTCGCTGGTTTGGGCAAGATGATTATCCCAGCTACTTTCCAGATCACCGGTATTGTTTATCACAGTATTCAGGATTTGTCCCATGATCCTGACGCTCTCTTTGGATTTATGTTATTTTTGATTTCAGGTGTAAACTTCTTTTGGAGTTACTGGTGATATCTCTTTTGATATATTGTTATATACATTTCTAGGATAACTAACTACTAAATCATTTGTTTGGAATGTCAGCACATAATGTTTGTCTCAAAAAGTACAGGTTTGTGCCTGTTATCTCTTGTCCAGTGTTCGTTTTCTTTTCTCAAGGAGGTATCAATTTTATTGATCTTTTTATTTTTCTTGTAGCTTCCACAATGAGTGTTATATTTCGTCGCTTTTGATATAGGAGTCAAAATAATTTGATTGTATTTTCTTTATTTTCCTTTTCGATTATTCAGTTTTGTTATTTGGTATCGTTTCATCCTGGGGATTTCTAGATTGGTACCATCATTTCCCACCCTTCTTTACCTTTTGTTACCTTTTTCTTGTCTATTATGCAGCAATTTGTAGAATTTTTATGAATTTTTTGGCTTGTTTCTAGTTTTTTAACTTTGTTTAATTCTATATTAAGATTTAAATTCCAATATTCATTTTTATTTTCAAATTGTGTAACATTTTTTTCATGATTTTTTCACTTATTATCAGTAACACCGCTGGGTGATCAGAGTCTACATCTAGGATATTTTCTTTCTATAAAATTGATTGATGTTTATATTGTAGATTCCTGCCACAAATACACCGGAAGACCTGAAACTATTTGCCCGCTTATGTAGAAAAGAATACTTTCAAGGCAACCACCACGTGGAAGAAATCATGTACCTGGAAAACCTACGAAGGAGTCAATTACTACAGTTGTTGGATAAGTTTAGGGACGTGTTGATTACGTACGAAACGGAAGATCCTGCTATAGCAATGTTTTCATGCTCTTCATAGCACACGATGAAATTTTATTATTGATTGGATTTTGTCTGTGAGATGGTACTAAATTATTTGTCCAATGTTAAAAAATTAAGTAGGTGCCGTTTATGCTATTTTGAAATCCTTTTAACATTTCTAGGTAGCATTGTACATTTTATTTAAGTACTGGAAACTATCCCAGAAAAAATTCTGGAAATTAAAAACTATTAATTTAAAATTTAAATTTAAATATAGAACTATCGAAAAAAAATCATAGTTAAGAAAGGTTTTATTATTATTACTTAAAAATATGGTATATTAGTACTTTAGTCACCATAAATTTTTCTTAAATGAAATGACATTTATGACTTGGCTTTATCAGTGTAAACTTTGGTTCAAGATTTATATTTTCAAGAAATTTTTTGAAAAAAAACTAAATAAAAATGATATTTAACACAACAAAAAGCAAACATGATCCAATATTAATGTTATGCAGCTCACACTCCCTCTAAGGGGAAAATTCCCTCATCCCAGATACCTACGGTATCAAAAATTGTAAAAACAGTAAAGAGATTCCTTTTTTGCTATATGCTTGGTTAGACATGACAGAGTCGATAATAAGTTGTTCTTTGCAGCCCATGGAACCCTTAGCGCACCCTTTCTGTTGACACTCTATGATATTGTTTAGAGCACAGTGTTGGTACATACGCCGGGCTACACAGGATGTGAGCAATTTATACAGAGTTGGAAGACAAGTAATTGGGCGATACTTGGTTGGATCATGGGTGTTATATTGATTTTTTTGTATTAAATAAGTTGTTCCTGTGATAGGAAAGGTAGTAATTCCTGCGGATCGGAAATACTGTGATTAATTCATGAATACTCAAGAACTTCTTAAGCCAAAAGTTTGAATGCCGTCTGGTCCAGGAGTTTTCCAGTTATGAAGCTTATTTAATATTATTAAAGAATTAAAGAAGAATTATTGAAGATTAATATTATTAGATTATATGATTATTAAAAAATATTAATAATATATTATATACAGATTGAACGAAATAAATTCGGAACATACGAAATATTATGTATTTCGGCTCAATTTTGCTGTAGGTGGTTGGCCAACAAAAGGTTGTCACAGCGGGCTGCTGGATTCTGAAATCATAAAAATTGAAAGCTACACAAAAATCTAAGATTTTATGCTGTCAAACCAGTTATCGCTTCTTTAGACAAGCCTTCTTTGAGCGGTGTTGTCAACCTTATTCCTTTAGATGTTTCTCAAATAAGGTGTTATCCATAAAATATTTACAAGAAAAAAAAGAAAATAACTACAAACCATTAAGTTTATTTTTGTTATTAGTCTGTTGTAGTAGATTGGTAAATACAATGAAAAATATAGGCAAATATCCGATTTATTTAAAGATACGAAGAAGATATAACTCTCAAAAAGATCCGCAAATCGGATTATTACACGGCGATTGGCAACATTGTTACGCAAACAACATTGTTGCCAAACAATAGTTGAACGATATTTTATACAATGTCTAACCCCAGGTATGGATTTATTTTTGTCCAAGTTTTATATTGGTCCACTATTTCAACTGCAGTTCAAACAGACATATATTAAATTGTATGATCCGTTTTAAATTCGTTCAATCTGTGTAATGAATGGCCAGTGGGAGTATTCAATTGCAGAATGAATTTTTCTTTTGTCATTTTGTAACACTTTTACAAAAATTACCAATTTTTGTTCTCTACAAATTATATCCATAACCTATATAGCCATATTTAAGCAAGTTGCTGTATATTTGACTAACGTGCTCTATTGATGGCACAATAACTATATATACTTAATACTTCAGTTGCTTTAAAAGCAAAAATATTGAGATACTTACCCAGTTATAGCAGTACTAATCTTTATGCGAATGTTTTGTGTAATTTTAAATACACCGCTTCTATAGAAATTTAGATTATTTATGTTATATATTCTTGTGTTGGAGTGACTAACTTTCCCACATACGAAATTTTTATTGCACACCTTTCTATAAATATGATTTTTTTAATGGCTCGATAATATTGTTTATTCTATTTTATCATTTATATTTTTCAAATAATTCCACTTTTCACCAATAACATCACTCTAAAGGTCGATTCAGACACATCAGTCACGTCTCGTCACCATCTCGTCACAGTGATTGCGCCGAATCGAACAATCCGTCATACAAAATATTCTTTAATACAAATATGGCGCCGGCATTCACACTCATCAGTTGACGAACAGTTTGCCAGCTGTCAGATAGTTTGATAGTTCTGTGACCAAACAGGACCGGTTCGGCGCCGAGACTATGACGGGACTGATGTGTGTGAATCGACCTTAAAGGTCGATTCAGACACATCAGTCACGTCTCGTCACAGTGATTGCGCCGAACCGAACAATCCGTCATACAAAATATTCTTTAATACAAAATGTTGCCGGCATTCACACTCATCAGTTGACAAACAGTTTAAAAGGTCGATTCAGACACATCAGTCACGTCACAGTCACGGTACCGAACCGGTCCTGTTTGGTCACAGAACTATCAACTATCTGACAGCTGGCAAACTGTTCGTCAACTGATGAGTGTGAATGCTGGCGCCATATTTGTATTAAAGAATATTTTGTATGACGGATTGTTCGATTCGGCGCAATCACTGTGACGAGATGGTGACGAGACGTGACTGATGTGTCTGAATTGACCTTAAGGTCGATTCAGACACATCAGTCACGTCACAGTCACGGTACCGAACCGGTCCTGTTTGGTCACAGAACTATCAACTATCTGACAGCTGGCAAACTGTTCGTCAACTGATGAGTGTGAATGCCGGCGCCATATTTGTATTAAAGAATATTTTTATATGACGGATTGTTCGATTCGGCGCAATCACTGTGACGAGATGGTGACGAGACGTGACTGATGTGTCTGAATCGACCTTTACTCGTCAGGAAGACGATAGAAGATAGAGTGGAGCCAGTCAAAAGTGCACCATATCGATGTAATTTCGACATTCCTTTAATCAAATATTTCTTGAAATGTATAGATATCTAAGTGGAATTGAAACGAGAACATTAATGTAGCTAGGCTCATATATTTCTCGTGTAAGTACATTTTATGAGAACGAGCGAGTATTGAGAACAGAGTACTAGTGTGAATAGGTCTTTAATGATATCAATATATTTCAAGATCCTGGAATCGTGGTAATGTTTGGCTTTTAAGTCCTAGTTGTTTGTGATTATAGATTTATTTATTTATTTGTTGTAATTGCATTTTTATACATACCAAATATTAAAAATATTAAAAAATATATATCGATTTTTTTAAAATAAAACTTTTACAAAACACTTTTTGGAATTTCTTTGTTATTTACACTTATTGTTTACACGAATCGAATCAAATATCGAATCGAATCGAATAGAAATAAATATCGAATTCAATCAAATATCGAATCGATTATCGGATCAAAACCATCGAGCAAAAAGATAAAAGAGGGAATCTAATCGTTATGAAAAGGAGACCAAAAAGTGGCCTCTGATGGCGGACATATCCGGAAATGCAAAGGCGCTAAATTTAAATTTTCCAACACTTGTTAACAATAGCTGTAAAATATTTTTTCAGACAAGTAAGTTTTAATTAAATATTAACGATAATAGTCTAAAAAGTGACACAATTGGTAAAAAACTTCAATATAAATAAAATTTCATGTGACAGTTGAGACAAACAATAACATAACCAAACTAAATTTGACTTCTTAAACAAGGAAAGAGACTGTCTTTCCTTGTTTAAAGTGGCCTCTCAAGATAGCACTTCCTGTCTCACAATTTTTGTGTCCCCACTACCTTTACATTCCCTCTTTTATCTTTTTGCTCGATGATCAAAACGGTGTCAAAACGAATCGGAATCAAATCGAATTAAATATCGAATCGAATGAAATGGATTGTCAAATGGAATCGAATAAAGAAAATAAAATAAAGAACGTAAATTAAAACCATCGCTCCTGGCTTATGACAAAAATAAAGCTATGCGTCCCCTCCTCGATCACTACCGGAGTGCCACGTCCCGTGTTTTTTATGTTACCGTCCCATGATACCACACATATCTAACGTGTGCAAAAATCCACCCTATCCATCATATCAATGAAAACGGAAAGTAAGAAAGATCCAATATAAATATCACAATCATACAATCAAGGTACCAGATGATATCTCTCTTCTTCATAACATCCCAGGTAGAGATTATCTCAAACTTGACCTTTTTGATAATTTGGAAATAGTCAAGGAAAAGAAAAATAGTCCCAATTGTGTTAATCGTCACACCAGCATCAACAGAGACTTCGTCCCACTTCATCGACAATTATTCTCCTAATCTAACTTTCTTTCTTTTAACTACACATCCAATTTTACTTCACTTCTACATTTCTTTTGATTTCCCATAGCTAAATATCAACTTACATAATCATTCATACTTAACTCTATACTTGTCACCATTAATACACTAACATTACCCCTTTGCCAATATCCAATTACCCATCCTCTCCAATAACTACCATCTCACTTATCATACACATTTTCTTATAAATATTCATTTCACATCTATCAATCTCTTATCACAATCAGTTTCAATATCTCCAGCTTACATCGTTACATTCACCTTCTATTTCCTTTTCTTGCTTTCTCTTTTATTTCTTTTTCTTTTCCTGGACTAATCTTCCATAAATTACAATCCAACTTTTTATATATACTCATTTAATACAACGAAACAATCAGGTAATAACATTCTTTTTATCCCATTTAAAATGACTTATTAATTTTAACCACTTAAATTAAAAACATTTTTCCCTACCTGGTATACCAATTTATTTTACATCGCAGTCACTCATTGATTTATATTCTCCCATCAGTTTTTTAAAAAATACCAAAAATTGCTAATGATCCTACTACACACAAAACACATTTCTTCACTAAAAACTGCCTACTCACAAACTTAAGCCACAGAATAATAAACAAACAGAATACCCATTCTCCACGGAAAATTAAGTACGCGCATCTCCTCCGCGCAGACGTTCCGCCATGTTTTAGGAGGATTTTTAAAGAAATTAGTGTTGTTTATGTGGTGTGCATGGAAAAATTAACCAGGTTTATTTGACTTACGGCAATCAAAGACATACAATACAATTATATTAACATTGTTAAATATAATAACATAAATATAATATAATTAAACATAAATATAAACAATTACATAACCACACAAATCATATGTCTGTGTCCTCCTAAAACATGGCGCGCGTGCTGAAAAACTTCAAAGGCGGCATCTGAGAGTGGCCCTTCTGTTTGTTTATTATTCTGTGCTTAAGCACAATGACTTTGCTCCTACCACATCATTCCTCTTGACATTGACGGGTACTAACTGATTTTTCATACCATCTTTCTATCAGTTAGCCCTAGACTCCAACACAGATCAGAGGTAATGTAAGTCGATAAAAGCTCACCAACTACAGGAGGTCATATAAGATGCCCCCAGTTTCATTTTTTAATATTACACAATTCAAGAGTCTATTGCATTTACCTGAATAAATAACATGAAGATTATTATTTTTTAAATCCAGATGTCCATCGAATGTTTTTTATGTGGCCACACAATGTTTTTTAACAACTTTTTATGTAAGTAGTAAAAAACCAACTTGTTCTTTTTGTATATTCAAATTTTAACTTTCTTGTTTTTAATATTGGTATTTTTACTCTCTCTTTTAGTAAACTGATGATGGAATGATACAATTCCGAAAAGATCTTCTTTATAATAAAAAATTTTAAGCTTTTAATAAGCGCTTTTTTTATACTTTAATACACACGAACACCACGTGCTTTTTAAAGATCCAATACTTCGGTCATATGAGGGGACCTAAATTTTCTTTACTGCGGTTAATAATTAAGGACAAAATAGAAGGAAAACGTTGGGTCGGATTAAAACAACTTTACTAGCTGCGTAACGTTAGATATTGGACAAGTCGAACATTCGAGCAATTGATTCATGTAGCTACAGACCGAGAAGCATTGTAGTAGCTTGTTAACACGATAATAGGCCTTTTGATAAACGAATTGATCGAGAGTAGTGATTCGATGTGAAGAATCGGTATTTTGTGACGCTACCCGTGATGTGACGACGCCATCTTGTGGCGGTAGTTCCGTGACGTTCGCATCAGCATTTTACTATAGAGAAAAAGTAATACAACGCCAGTATAGAAGCTTCGCTTTCGCTCCGTGTCTCCCCTCTATTTACAGTCACGTGACACGCTGTCAGATTTGTGAGGACGTTTTAGTATTGAGTCTTATGGGATTATTTTGTTAAACTTAAATATTTTATTTTGTGGTGTTAACATCCGGATACAATTTTTAGAATTAATTAGTTATTCATTTATAGTGACGTTTATAGTTCAACAAAAATATTTTTTGTCGTTAATAAAGATTTATTAACATCTGCGAAAGTGAGGTTATATATACATGATCAACCAATGATCAACATCCATGGTACAATGAATATGTTCATTGTAAAACATGAATTCTTACCATTCACAAAAGCGTCCTGATAAAATTTCAAACAATTGCCACCATGAGCAGGCCAGTCGATTTTGCTTTGACACTTTTTTAACCTTCGGAGCGAATAAAGAAAATGCCAACGATTGTAATCAAGTATGACACCCAATGAAGAAGATTGTGCTGGCTCTATAATACTCAACTGTATATCACTAACGATCCATCGAAAAACTTTTAATTAGAGCAAGCCTTGGACTACGCCTTTCTTCTTTTGGATGATTAGTCAGTTTAAGCTTAAATTAATATTGGCTATAAGCACGTGTGTTTTGGCTTTATAGTAACTTACATGCACTTCAAGTTATATGCGTCTATATTTTTTGCTATTGAGCTATGTACTATGTTAATTACTAAATTCTCTAGTCAGCTGGTACTGAGTGAATAAAATATATTATAGCTTCATATTTAATTGGTAAAGAAAACAATAAGTAACGAACTTGTAATGTACTTGTTTTATAAATAATTAATACAATTTAGGGATCCTACAAACTATATTTATAAAAATAATACAATCACTCATAATAATACTGGGTTGTGTTATGCTTCGCATGGTGTACCTTTAATGGAACTGTCGATATTCATCTTCATAATTCTGTAGTTGATTTGGTTCGGATTAAGTTCTCTGTAGATAAATGCTGGCAGTCTGTCCGATAGCACCCAGAGGTTTCTTTCAGCATCAATCTAAAAAATAGATTTGGAGGTTATGGATATAAATATAATTAGAAAATATACTGAAAAATAACAGAGAAATATTTAAGTACTCAAATAATAAACAAAATGCTGAGGATATAATACTGAAGAGGTTCTGAACATGATGGAACACTGACAAAAGTACAGAACAAATAACAATTTGTTTCTGTTCTGTGAAAAATGGTTTAAAAAATAATAATAAAAATGAATCATCGAGTTAGAATCTATGGGAGAGGGCATCACGTGACTAAAAACGACCTCGCTTCGGCCATATTGGTATGATCTTTGTGTCAGATCATGTATGGTTGTTAACGTTTTTTGTTTTTCGAATATTTTTAGTTTTATACTTCTATAAAAACTGTAATATTATATTCTGATAGTGCATAATAATGGGTTCTTGTTCTCAACGTAGTTGCAGTAGCAGAAGCAATGCTAATAACCTTTTTGTGGATGCGACCTTTTTTTCTAATAAAAAAAGTAATTCCTTTGAAATAATACTATAAAAAGTAATACTATAATGTACAAAAAAATTGAAATCAAATTAACGGTTCAGAAGAAAAATAACTTCAAACTTGTGGTCTTGCGTTAATTTGTAGTAGGAGAGTAATGTATATATAGCAATTGCGGAAATACTGTGGACAAGAATAAGGAAAAATTAAAAGGGATGGAAAGACAAAATTATGGGCATAAATGCAATAAGGCACAATAGATAGAACTTTTTTAGTGCTTACCGCAATGTCGTTAGTGAAAATCAGTTTTTCGTGATCCTGTGCAATCAGTGCGAATGTGTTAACATCGAGTTTTTTTCTAGGATTCCAACAAGCGATAGCATCCCTCTGTATTTGAGTCGTGAACAGGACATTTGCTTTAACGTCGAATTCAGAAGATGTAGATTGTCCTTGGTCATTCTTAAATCCTTCAAGCTAAAATAATAAAAAATATTTTACTTAAAGTACGTGACATTGAATAACAAATTTATAGTTTAGTGATGAAAAAACTATAAAACATTGTTTCCATTTTTCTTCATTACTATTACTTTTACCTTTTTTAAACTTTCTATTTACGAACTGAAAATGTAGAAAAACTTAAACTCTAATACTTAGAGAAAACAATAAAATGATACTTACTTTGTACAATTCAAATGAGGATGGATCTGAAGCCAAGAGTTCATTTTGCAAAACTTCTGTGCTGACTGAAAATTCATTGCAACTGGCTAGAGCATGAAAATAAGCTGTTCGGTAGCTGCAACAGAAGAAATGTATATTTCAAAAAGAGTAAAACATCTACAATTAAAAATCCGCATATTTCTGCTAAATAATTTTTTCCAATCATAAATTACATTATGTCTGGTATATATGTATGTGAAGAAGCGGATGGGGGCTATACCCCTATATAAACCAGGAATATCGTCCGCTCCACCCTCCAATCAAAATACCGCCATCAAAAATGTTCGCGCCAACCCCCAACCAAACCACATCACCATCAACTCTGTAAAGGAATCGCAAGCTATTCCCAGCAGCAGCAGTGCAGTGATTAGTAATCAGTGTAGTAGTGTCTGGGGGGCTCGATAGACAGATCCAGGAAGCACTGAAGACGACATCAGAGGGGATGTCGAAAGCTCGGCGCAGTAACGGCACTAAGGTCTCAATCTGCCTACTCCTCAGTGTAGAGTGAGGACTGGTCTTACCCTGTGTAGCTGCTTTTATCCTTTCAGTATGCGGGGGAACGGTATGCGCGGAAACGGTCTAAGCGGGATGGGTTGGGGCGGGGAGTCGCTGAAGCAGTGATCGCCATGTTGCCGGCATTCCTTTGGCGTCATCGCGCGTGTTTAAGTTCTTAGGCTGTTTTTCAATTTAGATGGCTTCACGAATGATTCTCGATTTTAAATCCTCTCCCATCTGCTTCTTAACATCGAGAACCAAAAATATGCACTTCAAAGACACCTATTTATATAATTTATCATCTTAGAAAAATGTGTCACCGTTCAGTAGAATTATAGCGAACTTCACAGAATATATTTTAAAAAGTGCTTACCCAGTTGTTTCATTTATCGGTCCTAGAGCAAGGCCAAACACTCCATCAGTCCACTGGAAATTGACTCCACCAACGGTCAAATTGCCTTTAAGAGGATCAAAGTGGAAATAATTGTGCTTAACTCTCCAAGATTTGTTATCGGCGAAAGAATACACGACTATTCCATAACCTCCCAAGTCTGGTAGGTAGGCAAAAGCTTTGTCACATTGAGTTTTTGTTGCATCTACGATCTAAAAATAATATTTAAAACAGGTGTATTTTATTTAAACATTTTACATGTTCCAATTATAAATGCACACAAAAATTCAAATGTGTTTCTCAACTAGTCAACATAAGGCAGTCAATTTTGACGTACATGAAAGAAATGACTTAAGCACAAAATTAGAAAGCTAAAGTAATTTATTAAAAAAGCTAACCAGGATAGGAAAAATCTAATAAATTTAAGGTTTACTTACGATATTGGCGAAGAAAGAATCTGCCCCTTTAATATCACTATCCGGTAAATTATACCTTCTGATTAACCGGTCTGTGTTTAGATCAAATATAGCAATAGAGGTAGGTATGACTTGCTTTCCACTTCCTAAAATATCCGCTAGTCCAGTTTCTATCAACCATAATCGATCACATTCATCGACTTTAAGTCTAAACACAGATACAATCTGGTTTTCGGCTGGCAATTCTCCTTCTTTTGGAAGCTGGTTAGCTTTCCAGTCAGGATAGGGGTGTAAAGCTGGTGATTTTTCTGTCGTGTTTAGGGGAATGTAGTTTAAGTTAGCGGCTACCCCGTCTTTCCATCTAGAAGAAAAAATATTTAAAGTTTATTACATTTGGTATAAAATTGATAACGGATAATAGTTTTTTGAATGTTTAATATTATGAATAGATTAAATGAAAATGCCTTCTCAACTGGCATTAAATATTTAAAATGTTTCATAATTCTTAATTCTAATTTTACAAATTTTATAAGTTCTGACAATACTTCAGAAAGGCTATTGGTAACATGACAAATGTGAAGAGTTATCTGTTTGAACAAAATGTCTAATACATTCATTTACGTAAATATAAAATTTAACTTAAGATAAAGTTCAGTTATATAGCCCTACTCATTTCCTACAACGAAACACCGAATGAAGAATATTGAATATTTTACTTCTCATTTAATGCCTGTATTTTGTAAGTTATTTTTCATGCAGAATTTAGTTTAAACCTGCTTAGAATAAATATACGACGAGTAGAAACGAATTGATCCAGAATAGTGAATCAATGTGAAGATCCGCTATTTTATGACGCTACTGTGACGATGCAATGTTGTGTCGATAGTTCCGTGACGACGCCATCTTATGGCGTTAGTTCCTTGACACTCGCCTCAGCATTAAAATTTAGAGAAAAAATTATGTTTAAAAATTGAATATTATAATTTCTTTAATCTCAAGAGAATTTCTGAATTCGAGTTTCAGAAAGATTTGTCTCTCTATATTGTTAGAAGATTTTCTACATACTCATCTACATGCCTTTCGTTTCCATAATTTGATTTTAATTTTCAAAATAGATATCTTATTTGATATCCTATGAATATTTATTTGCCACAGGCTGCAACGAAATTTCTTTGAAATTGATTTTCCTAAGTAGAAATGTTACCTAACGGAATATTGATTGCGGTTTTTATTGTAAGAATTATTATTACAATACAATAATTACTTTTGATTGAAGTGATGTATGGATATAATTATTATTCTTATTCTAATTTGTTAAGAACAAAGCAAGTATATAATAATTATATTAGCTTATATAATCATTTCAAGAATATGCGCATACAAGGTTTTCAGATTATTATATTGTAATTAATTATACTGTTTTAAAGCATGATTAATAAAATGATAAAAAGTGTTAATTAATTCAGTGTTAATTCAATTGTTATGAGAGAGAGAGGCTGTTTTAAAGAATTTTTAAAAAAATCTTTAAAAAATCATGTATAGGTATTATATGTGCGGGATAAAGGGGTACAATGCGAAAACATGCAGTTGATTCCAGTTTACTCCAATCAGCCTCTTCTACTTAAATCCGACTCTCACGTTCACGCTGGTGTCGCCTGTAAACCGAGCAACCCAACTGGAGATCCGGTATCCAACCCGGGTGGAAAGTTGGGTCGAGAACTGACGAGAGCGGGTGAAAGGCCATCCGAAAAGGAAATTTGGCGTTGGGTTAACTACCCAACCCTGTAAAAAACCTTTGGTTATGAGAGCTACAAAGAAAGAAACCGGACTGTCTAACCTATGACAAACTAGCAAACGAAATAAGGATAATGATTTAAAAATTTACACGTGGAACATAAGTAGCCTTTATCACCCTGGAGCCACGGCTCTGCTCATACAAGAAATGAATAATGCCAAAGCAGATATCAAGCAGAAAGATGAAAGACTTTTGGGAATATTTGAGCGTAAAATACTCAGCAAAATATTTGGAGCTATAAATGACCAAGGGCAGTGGCGCAGAAGATATAATTTTGAATTGTATCAGCTCCTTGATGAGCCAGATGTCATAACGTTTATTAAAACACAGCGGCAAAGGCCGACATGTTCTATGAGGCACTAGAAAGAGAGTACGATAAGTGCCCAAAAAATGACATCAAAATAATAGCAGGAGACTTTAATGCCAAAGTCGGAAGAGAGAATATATTTTCGCCCACCATCGGAAAAGAGAGCCTACACGTGGACTCTAATGATAACGGTCTCAGAATCATAAACTTTGCGATGTCTAAGAACATGGTAATAGCATTGACACGATTTTGTCATAAAGATGTACATAAGGGAACTTGGAAATCTGATAATGAAACGATTAACCAAATAGATCTTATAATCATCTATGCAAGACACTGCTTTAACTTAGATGTTAGGTCTTTTAGAGGAGCAAACATAGATAGTGATCATTAGTTAATTAAAGCACGATTTAAAGAAGGAATATCCAATTTAAAAAAAGGAGATCGGGAAAAGGAGAGAAAAAATTGACATTAATAAACTAAAAGATCCCGACATTGCAAATGTATACAGACAGCAAATAGAAGATACTGTGTTACAGAAATACGTTGATTAAAAAAGAAGAGTGTAGACGTCTTATAGTACAGTCATTGGAGCGAAAAATACGGTCTTACCTCAGAATTTTTTTACTGTGAACCAATTTGCATGAAATTTTGGAATTAGGCTCATCTTACCCTTAACTTCAAAAGTGAAAATGATCTGAACTCCGCCTATTATTTTTAAGGAGTGTGAACAACCCTTAATGGAAAAATTGACACTGAGCCATTTTATCGCTAGAAAACATCTCTAAAAGTAAGTGGTGAAATTGTAAAGTGTTTTCTAACACAATTACCTCATATTAAAATCATTTTAAACCCCTTGAAAATCTTACAACTCTTGCAAACAACCCCTTAATTAAAAAAATCACAAAAAAATACTTTGGTATGAAATAAAAGATGTAAGTATAGAGTAAGTAATATTTTATATTCTCTATAATAATTATCAAATTTTTAACCTCCTTTCAACCCTTGAAAACTATCCCTTTATAAAAAATTGTTAAAATGAAATACTTAATTAACTAATATTAAATATGTAAACACGCATGGGATAATGAACATAGGGTTCAATGGAATAATTCAAATGTAGTCCTAAAAGAAACGGATGGTAAAAAAAGAAAAATCAAAGAAGCGGCTCTAATTATGCTAAATGAGGCCAATTGTGTCGCAAATTCCTCGGCAGAATGTAATAGGATCTGGTTACCAATATTGAAAGAGGAAGTTAATAATAAGAAAATACCAGTATTAGTTAGTCAGTAACATATAGAGGATACATCATTTATGTTTTTTAAATAATGAAACATATAAAATCAGAATTTTGGTGTTAATTGAAGGTAAACTAAATGCACGACCAAATACTTACCATGTCAGGATTGTATTATGAGGTTTTTTTCCTGGTTTTTCCCTCATAATTTACTATGGAATCATTAACAGGAGAATTTTACTGTCATCATGTCATGTGTTTGTCTTTTTAAAGACGAATTACATGGTATGATCTTTTCTGACGGATATTCTCAAGTTAAAGTTGATTTCATGTAATCGAATGAACTATCTTATAAGTAAAGTCGTCCCAGGAGCGCAACTCAATAATATTGGCAATATCATTTTAAAGTCGTCTACTTTAAAATGCATAATGTATGTCTGAATTGTCAATATAAATGAGTCAGATAAAATTAAATTATTAGAAGAATTTTTCACTATGTAACAAAAAACAAAATTTGTTTAATTTACTGTTTGTATTTTGAGAACGATTTCCGAAGTGGAAATTGAAACGTCAATAAACGTATTTTTATCTTTAATTGTGGCTTATTCCCAGTTAAATAGCAATTAAATCTGAAAGGGATGTGAGAAAGTGTAGGATATTCGGAAATTTGAGTTGATACTTTTCTTTTTTTATTTACACCTTCAATAGGTTGCAATAAGGAGGTATATTAACTTCAGACATGATAGTTAATTTTGAAAATTCTTTATCTGAATTTGACAACATTTCAAATCTGTTATTACAGAAAAAGAAGAACCGCTCAAATTGTTGAGCGTATGTATATATTTTTATACCAGGACAACTTTTAGATATCGATATATGCTTTTACAGTGTATACCATACATTTCTTTTTCAGTTTTAATTTCTCCACATCTTATGCAGTACTTCTGTGTTCTTTTACATTGTCTTGAAATGTGTCAAAATTTATTATAATCAATTCATCGGAGGTCTGAACTCATTTGTATTTCTCCAGAGATTTTTTTCAAGGTAATATTTGCCTCCATATTTGCAAATTTACCAGCTATTTCATCTACATTTTGTAATGTATTTCCTCATAAACTTAAAAAATCCGATTATTTATTCTACGAAACTGCTCAAAATAATTGGAGGTGTACGCAATACTCCAATAGAGGATTTTGTTTCAATCTCAGAAATAGTGATGCTACTACAAATAAAAGACATCACACATCAAACTGAATTTGATCCAAGTATATGCGCCAACAACGGATGCAACAGAAGATAAAGTAGAAACATTCTACCAACAAACGGAAGATGCACTGAAAATGACAAAGAACAGGGAAATTAAATCAAATCAGGGAAAGGGAAGAGCTGGAACAATAATAAGAGATCAAGAACTAGGGAGTATAACAGTCTTTTCATAGACTTTCGACAAGCATATGATAGCGTAGAAAGAAGCCAAGTATGGAATGCAATGGCGGAGTTCTCAATACCAAAGAAACTCATTCGGATGACCAAAGTCTATATGGAGGGTGGAATATCTAAAGTACGTGTAAATAATAAACTGTCTGGCAGCTTTGAAATCAACAGTGGACTCAAACAGGGTGATGCGTCATCTCCACTACTTTTAACCTTGTATTAGAGAAAACCATGAGGTCGGCCGAAATAAAAACAGAATTGCTATCGGTTCAAGGTCCCAAGCTGTTACTCACATATGCAGATGACATAGATCTCGTTGGAGACTTCATCCTATCCACGAAAGACATTTTCAATAAGGTGGAAGGAGCAACAAGTGAAGTAGAGCTGAAGAGTAATGAAGAGAAGACGAAATATATGTATATAAATAGAACGAAACGAAGAGACAGAATAGGATAAAATGTGACGGTCAACACCTTCAATTTCGAAGAGTACAACGTTTTAAGAATCTAGGGGCCGTATTCATAGCTGACAACGATGTTACTGAAGAAATAAAAGACAGAATCCAATCTGCAAACCGCTGTCTATTCGCACTGGATAAGCTCATAAAATCAAAAAATCTCACAAGAAGTTCAAAGATCAAAATCTATAAATCCATCGTCAGACCTGAATAACATACGGATGCGAAACGTTGACCATGACCAAAGCAAACGAAGAAAAGCTCAGACGCTTTGAACGAAAAATACTTAGAAAAATGTGCACAGACTGCATAACGAGAGACTTGTAAAACTGATATGGGAGGAGATTCCCACAGGCAAAAGACCACTCAGACGTCTCAGAATGCGATGGAGAGATAACATCCAAGCAGATCTCCGGAAAATGAACATTCCATTTGACCCTAGGTTGATGGAAGACTGAACAAATTTAAAAAAAGTTGTACAGTCAGCCAAGACCCATCCAGGGTTGTAGTGCTACGTGATGAAGGACTAGGGGAACGTAACGATAGAGGAGATCGTCTAATACAATTCTGCCAAGGACAAGGTCTAATAATCATGTTCTTTAAATTACCTATGAGACGGTTATATACATGACGCTCACCAGTAGATAACCCGGAAAAAGTGGTAAGAAACCAAATCGATTATATAATGATTAAAGAGAGATATAGTAACACCATCAAATCTGTTAAAACATATTCAGTAGTAGATGCCACATTAGACCATAACCCACTAATCGCTAATGTCACGCTTAAGTTTAAACGTATTAGAAAACCCCAAAGAACTCCAGAATTAGATGTTAGAAAACTGAAAGAAGCTGATATAAAAAACAAACTCGAACAGAAAATATTCTAAAACTTTGATAAATTAAATAGTAACACCTACGAGATAAACCAACAATGGGAAACATTAAAAAAGTGCCTCCTTGTTCCATGCAAAGAGATATTAAAGAAACCGATAAGAAAGAGAGACAACTGGATGACCGACGAAATACTCGGCAGAATGGATCAAAGAAGACAAGCCAAGAACAAAGACAGTCACAATTTACAAAATCGTTAACAATGAAATCAGAAAAATGATAAGGGAGGCAAAACAAACTTACTATGAGGAAAAATATAAAGGATAGATCTTCAGAACAAATACGACCTATTCAACCTACATAAAAAGGTTAAAGAAATGGCAGGGCTACAAAAAAGAAACCACAACACAACTCTTTTAGATAAAATGAAAATACTATGATAACGACAGACGAAAAACTAAAACGATTTAAAGAAGATATGGAAGAGCTCGTCGACGACGAAAGAGGAAACCTATAAGACATATCTTTCGAGAACAGAGAAACAAGTATAGAAATTACAAAGGAAGAAATATTGTATGCATTAAAGAACACCAGAAACGAAAAAAGTCCGGGGCCAGAGTAACTGCCTATTGATATCCTTAAAATAATAGAAAATGAGTACATGGATGTCTTCTTAAAGCTCTTTAATGGAATTTATCAGTCAGGTGACATACCCAATGAATGATTGATCTCAATATTTATTTGTCTCCCAAAAAAGAAAAATGCTAGAGAATGCACCGACCACTGCACTATAAGCCTGATAACTCACACACTTAAAATGCTTTTAAAGATCATCCATAAACGAATTTACCAAATAGAATCCTGGATATGGATATTGAAGAAATCCAATTTGGATTCCGTAGAGGCGTAGGTACCGATTAAGCTCTCTTTGCATTCAACGTACTAATCCAGAGATGATTGGATGTGAATCAAGATATGTACGTCTGTTTCATAGATTACAACAAGGCTTTCGATATCCATAAAGTCCGCCACAAAGAGCTAATGGACGTCTTCAAAGCAAAACAATTACAATGCAATGACCTTCGAATTACAACAAATCTATATTACAAACAGCAGGCATATATACACATTAATGAACACACATCAGAAGAGTTCGAAATTAAAAGAGGAGTGCGACAGGGGAGTATATTACTATTCAATGCATACTCTGAAGAAATTATGAAAAGAGCTCTTGAGACAGAAACAGCAGAAATAAAGGTCAATGGAACACCAACTAACAACATAAAATATGCGGACCATACTATCATAATAGGAGAGGGATAGAAGCCTGAACACTTAACTCGTCGACTACTAAAAAGTTGGAAGCTGTGGGTGTATAGAAGAATAATAAAGATATCATGGACCGAGCAGGTAACAAACAACGAAGTCATGAGAAGAGTCAACACAAGAATGGAAATATTGGAAACCATCAAGACACAAAAGCTGCAATACCTGGGCATGTTATGCGTAATGAAACATACAACATACTTCAATTAATTATACAAGGGAAAACCCAGTGCAAGAGAGGTGCAGGAAGGAGAAGAATCATGATCAACCTCCTTCGCGGAGATGGCACGTAAAGAGAAAGACCGAATACTCAGTACCAGGAAGTAGCCAATTTTATAAAATTTAAATTAAAGGTATTTTATTTAAAGAAAAAAACGTTTAGTCACTGAAAACTATAACGAAATACACAACAAATACTTCCTCTATTCGTAAAACCTATAACTTTTATATTTGTTCCGCTTCAGCTATAATTCAAAGTATTACTAGAGTGACAGATTCTAGTAAAAACATAATATTATCAATAACATTTTTAATTATATTCAAACAATAAATTCTTATGCTAAATATTTTTTTGTTCTACAAATCGGGAAACCCAAAAATGTTTTAACAGCTGAGTAGAAGTGAAAACTTCCATATCAGTTGTTACTACATTTAATAATGTTTCTTGTCCAATTGATGGGCATTTATGAGTATGATAATGTACATAGTATTAATTGGATAACAAATACTAAAATATTACCTAGGCACAGTGACGAACAACTTGTCTTTCCACCTCGCAAGCCCCAGAGGCAGATTATTTTTCGGCTCATAAGCACGGCTGGCCAAAGCTGCGTTTTTAGCTCCTTCGTTAGGCCATGCAAAAGTCACCTCGTTCCATTCGAAAACATCCTGAAGCTGCGAGAACACTCCCGATATACACAAAACGCTGATCAGAATTCCGCTTTTTAGAATCATTTGTGCGAATGTATGTAATATGTGTCGCGAATATTAGAAAGTGGTCTGTCTCGCGGTGAACCTGACCTGACTTCAGTGGTTTTGAATTAGCACTGTACAGAACTAAATGCTGCTAGTAAAAAAGCGATTATTTCAAGTTCTCCTTCCTTCCTCCCACTTGGTTGAGATCCATAAGCGTGTCCGTGGGGAGTGTAATTGGCAATTCAGTGATTTTATGTAACAGCCCTTTGCAATTATATTTTAAATTGCATTGCACATTCTACCGTTACAAAAATAATGAAAAGACACACACTTTAAAGATGTATCAAAAGGTATTTTTTAAATATCTGAACGTATGTGACGAAAATGTAAAAGAATAAAATGCCTACATCAAAACTCATTTTAATGATACTTATTAGTACTTATTAATCTGTTCTTCTTCTTCTTCCTTCTTGTATGTAGGCTTTGAAGTCTGTTTCTTCTTCAATATTAGCCTCCTTAATTGTTTAAATTATCGCACCATCTTTTTCTTGGTCTACCAATACTTCTTCGTTCATTTGGTGACTTCTTCAGGATCCACTCCTGAATATAGGTATCTCCCCATTGCTTCCATCTTTCTCTATCTTGCGCCAATCTAATCCACTGTTCGCCTGCCACTGCTCTTATGTAATCTACACATCTTTTTTGAGGTCTTCCCATGCTTCTGGTTGTCGTCCTTGGTCTCCATTCTAGAATTCTCCGTGTCCACCTGTTGTCATTATATCGGGCTACGTTACCTGACCAGCGCCATTTCATTTTTGTAATTTCTTCCACAATATCCCTAATCTTCGTTCTACGTCTTATATCGGTGTTTCTAATCTTGTCTCTCAGTGGTATTCCAAGCTTGATTCGTTCCATTGCTCTTTGCGTCGTTGTTTCTAATTTTTTAACAGATTTTGTGGTAAGGGCTACTGTCTCCAAGCCGTAGGTACAAATTGGTAGTATGCATTTGTTATACACCTTTTACTTTAAGTTTATAGGAATGGAGGTGTTTTTAAAGATATATGCTAGTTTGCCGAAAGCGACCCATGCCAATTGCGTTCTTCTTTTAATTTCAGCGTCTTGATTCGGTTTTCCTAGTTTGATAACATGACCTAGATATACATAAAGTTGTATTGTTATATTTGTCTGGTCGCAGCTCAGTATTTTTGTTTTGCTGTAGTCCATTTTAAGGCTACGACTCCTAAAACTGCATTTAATTGTTGTAACATATCATTAAGTTCTTGGATATTATCGGCTATTAAAACTATGTCATCTGCGAATCTCAAGTGGTTTAAGTATGATCCGTCGACGTTGATACCCTTATTGTCCAATTCTAGTTTCTTAAAAATGTCTTCTAGAGCAATGGTGAATAGTTTGGGAGAGATGGTGTCTCCTTGTCTTACTCTCCGTTGTAGTCTTATAGGATTAGTTTTTGTGCTTTCGTCCATCTTTATCTGCATGGTGGCATTTTCATAGTCACATTCAAGCTTTGGTGAGGTTGAAATGTTCCTGATGTAAGGAGTTGGCTCTTATTAATGGAGGATATCTGGAGCGTAGTCTGTTTATTTCGATATCAAGCTTATCATGGTGGATGGGTAGTTGATGGTAGACTCGATTTTTCGATATTCTCTGAGAAGAGAATGACTTCTTCGCAGTTTCGGCGGTGGAATGTGACTCAGAATGGGAAGCCAATAGTTCGGTGTGGATCTAAAATACCTGAGATCATTCGCATTGTCTGGTTTAATTGGATGTCAATAATCTTCGTGTGTTTGCTATTAAGCCATAACGGGGAAGCATATTCAGCCACCGAGTATACAAGTCCGAGAGCGGATGATCTGAGTACGGAGGCTGAGGATCCCCATGTAGTGCCACATAGCTTTTGGACTATATTATTTTTCGTTTTCAGTTTTGCTGTCGTTCTTTGTAGATGTTCTTTAATACTAAATGTTCTGTCTAGAGTCACTCCAAGATATTTTGGTGTTGAATTATGAGTGCGTAGCCTGTTTTCAAAGTATACGAAGAGTTTTTTGTTGTCTTGGACACTATTCAGATGGAAACAGTACACTTCGGTTTTCGTTGCATTGTGCCGTAGCCTCCATTTGCCAAAGTATTCTCCCATAATGTCAAGGAGATCCGTTAGTATTGTTTCTGTGATATCCATGTTATTATGTCTTGCTGCAATGGCCCAATCGTCAGCGTAGCCAAATTTCTACGAAGTTGTCTCAAGTAGGTCTGCGATGTATAAATTAAACAGTAAGGGCGAAACAAATCTCTGGCAGTCCATTGCTGAGCTTCATTTGGATACTTTTAAATTTTTTTGAAAATTAAAGCCAGTTATATCGAGCACAATTTTAATAATCAAATCTTGCCCAAGTACTTTAGCTTTCTACAACATCAAACAGTTTAAAATTATTTAAAAATTATTCTACGCTACATTATTGTCGGCAACAGGAGATAAAATCTCATATGAAATATGCTTGTTTTTTGAATTATGAATTATGAAAAGACTTTTGACACGGCACATCATGACAAAAACATATCGTACAAGTGGATCGTACTGGAAGGAAAATATGTTTGATTAATTGGTAATTTGTATTGGAACCAGATTACTTTTTTTCAGATTTATGAAAATACATATTAGAAATACATATTACAGCATGAATTTACTTTTTCTGAATTTACAGCTATATACATCTGTTAGATACTCTTTATGTACAACTTTTTGTTCTGCCCACATTTGACGCAACTTTTCAATTACTTTAAAATAATTTGCATCCATTGTCACTTCGTAATATACACTTCAAATATTGTGAACACGTTCAATAAATTATAAGTAATTTTCTAGCTACGTAATATTTTTATTGTTCTGGCATTTTTGAAACCGTAATTTGAATATACACTCACATTATGAGACTATACTGAAAATCAACAACACAAGATCCATTGAAGTACAGTTTTCTTTAAATATAATTGACATTAAAATATTAAGTTACAATATTAAGTAGAATATTTACTTAAATACCTATTTCATGCTACGTTCATGGATAAAAATTGTACATCACGGAAAGAGTTGTTTTCAGGTGATACTCATATATCTCTTTGAATTTACTGTTGGGTACGATTTGCAAGGTTTTCGCAATATTTATATTGGAATCTTAAGCGTTCTTGACTTTAATTGAAAAAGGTTTCTAAATTCACATTACACATTTGCTATTGTTGTAATTTATTCGGAACATGTTGGTATTAATCGATGTCATTCAGGAAGTTTGCGGATCTGCCAAAATCTGTAAAATTTAAATCGGATTTTTCATCTTAAATTAGTGAAATTCAGTAGTTGTTTTGGTTTTACCTGCTTCTAAAAAGTTCGTTGACTCATATTTTTATTCTTTTGACGTATGCTGCTTTTCGAAGAGATCAAATATTGACTTTACAAATATTATTCAGTTCACTCTAGGAATAGGAATGAGGAAAATTTACAAAATATAATATTTACTAACCAAGTGATACCAAGTGATTAAAAAATGAAGACACCAGGCACCAGATACAAACCTATATAGAAAAAGAATTAAAAAATACAGACAAAGCCAATGAACCAGATAACGAAATGGCAAAACTACAGCAAATTAACCAGACAATCCTAGATAAACATCTTCGCCAAACAACGGTTAAAAAGAAAGAGTGGATTACTGATAAAATCCTAAATAAGATGGAGAATAGAAGAAGAGCTAAAAACAGAGACATGTGGGACTATAAACGAATTGACAAAGAAATAAAAAAAAACTATTAGAGAAACCAAAAACAAATGGTTGGGAGATCAATGCAGACAAATAGAATCATTGGAAAGTAGAAAGTTTAAATTCGGCGTTTTTTAGGTATATTCCAAAAGCCTTAAATTCGTTTGTGAAACAAATCAAAAACTTTCATAGAAATTGTATAATTACGGCAAACATTGCATAAGGAAGCTGCACTCTTCACCTTTGAAAGGCTTTCTGATTTTTGTCGATAGGACACTCTGGAATGGAGATGGACTGGTTCAGGAATCATCGAGAAAAGAGACTACAATATATACTATAGCGGACATAGCAGCCGACACGAGTTTGGCAGTGGTTTTCTAGTCAGTAAAAAAGCAAAGCAATTAGTCCTTAACTTTAAACCCATAAACAACAGAATATGTTATCTACGTCTTAAAGGAAAATTCTTTAATTATAGCTTACTTAGTGTACACGCACCTACGGAAGAAAAGGAGGATAATGAAAAAGATGAATTCTATGACACCTTAGACAAAGAATATGATCGATGTCCACGTCATGACGTGAAAATCATTGCTGGAGACCTTAATGCAAAAATTGGCAAAGATCAATTTTTCCAGCCAACTATAGGACGTGAGAGCTTACATGAAGAGTCAAATGATAACGGGTTGAGACTAATAAACTTTGCAAGTACTAAAAACGTGATAGTAGGAGGAACAACATTTCCCCATAAAATGATACACAAAGGAACATGGAAATCCCCTGATAACGAAACCATTAACCAGATAGATCACATCCTGATAGATGCAAGGCACTCTTCCGATCTCATAGACGTCAGAAGCTACCGAGGCTCAAACATTGACAGTGACCACTTTCTTGTAATGGCAAAAATCAGAGGAAGAATATCAAACCTAAAGAAAGATAAACACACGAAACAAGACAGAATTAATGTTGATAATCTGCGCATTGAAACCGTTGCGAGAGAGTATAGGAGACAAATGGACGAAGAAATGGAGAGCCTGGAGGTGGGGGAAAACGTAGAGGAACTGTGGACAAAATGTAAAAACATAATAACTGAGAAAGCAACAAAAATATTGGGGAAAACCAAACCAGTTAAAGAAAACGAATGGTTTGACAAGGAGTGCCAAGAAGCAACAGATAACAAAAACAGGGCATACCTAAAGACAAATCAAGCTGGATGCACAAGAAGAGCAAAGGAAGAATACCGGACACTAAGAAGAGAAAAAAACGATTACATAGAAGAAAAAAAAGACAATTTGAGCAAAAGCAATTGGAAAGCACAGAATTTCTAAGAAATCAAAATGAAACTCGAAAGTTCTACA